CAAACATGTTAAAAGATATTTGCCACAAACGGAACTGAATCTAATACAATCATTTTGGTTGATTTTTTATCAAGCTTTAGATGGATGGATGGATGGATAGGTAGATAGAATGCCGAGCACCAGACAGGGTAACAACAAGTATCATCTTTTGACGTCTCTTGTAATGACGCGGCCGGGGATCAAACCCCGGACCTTCCGCTCTCCGGGCGGAAGCCTCGCCACTAGACCACGGAGGCGGTCTCGGCATTAAGGGGCTAAAACAATGTGTCGGCTCGGAGTCAGTATACTGTGCCCGAGTGGCGTAACGTTAAACGTTAAACCCCTTTTCACCTATCCTAATTATTAATCTTCATATTTGTATTCGTAAAGTTTTACAGGGAGCGGCAAGGTATATCTTTTATACAGATAGTACGACAATCAAATACGTTTCAGCTCGGTCAAGAAATGCGCAATCATGTCTATCCCGTTTTCGCATAGAGTTAAAAAACAAACAAGGACTACGCGCTGTTTGCTTATGACTTAAACTGGTGTTATCTCCGGAGAGCGCAGATGAAATGTTCTATACGCCGGAGTCGTATAACGACAAGAGAGTGCACACCTTCACTCAACTGCTACATACCTGTGCACCTGGAGTACACCTGCCCCCCTCCCGGAGGTCACTGCCGCGATCTGACGCCCCACACACAGGCTTGTATGCCTATTTCAAAATTAATTCGAAGATCTCACTGCAGATGATAATATGAGTCCAATTGTATGGCACCCAGTTGCAGCTATGCTGCTCGCAGGAGTGAGGGAGTATGGATTCCCGCCACTTTTAGCAATATTCCAGCAATATAACGGCGGGGGACACCAGAAACGGGCTTCAGTCATTGTTCCCACGTGGGAACCGAAACCGGGTCTTCGGCGTGACTACCCAACCGCCCCTCACGACAAAAGAACAACATTTACAGATACAGTTAACTACGGTTAAAACGAACACGCTTATAACGAACTGACGGATATAACGAACTTTATATTTTGCCCCCCCCCCCCCCCCCCCTCATTTGTGGAATATCCGCTGTATATATGCTTATAACGAACTTCGGTTATTACGAACTAAAATAGGTGGTCCCTTTGAGTTCGTTATAACCGTAGTTTACTGTACGTAAAACTACTAGTGACGTTCCACAGTGACCCAGAACAGTGTCTCCACAAACGGATCTGCCCCATGCTGTCGCTACATTTTCGTGTAATAATAATAGGCCATTTATAGTGCGCATATTTCCACACCACACAAAGAGCTTTTATTACCCAGGTCACTGGATCAGTGTGCACTCAACGATCATTCTCAGCTTCCTGGGGAGCATACAACCCAAGCTGCCTCTTAACAACCACATTGCCATCCATCCTACCGGGTACCCATTCACTACTGGGTGAATCATGAAAATACAAGTTGGGGACAAGTGATACGTGTACAAATATTTGCCCCCGACGTCAACTACGGCCTTGGTAGTTGTCTATTCACATGGGTATATGTGTATTTTCTGTCTGTGAACGGCCTTAAGAGTTGGTGCTTACTTCATTGAGATGGGGAGTTTGTTCCAGGGTACAGACATTGCACATTGAAAGGAACGGGCACCGTGTTTTGTTCCCGCTCTGATGTTAACTAACAGGTCCTTGTTTTGTGATCTCAGAGATCGTGATGGAACGTGGCGGCTGAAGAGCGTTGAGAGATATTCTGGTGCAATTTGAGTCAGCAGTTTGAATGTGATTCAGTTTGCAACATCCAGCCAGCCAGCGAAGCTCTCTGAGGCCTGGCGTTATGTGCTGTCGTCATGGACACCTAGTTTAGATTCAGGCTGCTGGATTCTGAACTTCTGATGACGATGCTGCAGTGATGACGGGATGCCACACAGTAGGGCCTTGGCATAACCCAGACTCTACGTATTGTCCCTGAAATAAAATTACGTATAAGGTTATGTTAAAATAATTCCATGAAGGAACCTTCGCTTATAAAGCAATCCACGGCTTTGAACTCTACCACAACCACTTTATTCTCCTGATCAGGCTTAGGCTTCCATCTGTTACCAAACATGAATAAAACTCCAGCCGGAACCCTTTTCCGCTCGAATAATGAAGTCATAACAGCTGTCGAGAACGTTTTGGACAGCCAAAAGAAGGCCTATACGAAAATGGGAGAACATCCCTTCAACATCGTTGACAAAAGTGTATCAGTGTAGAAGGGGATTATATTGAATTACCATATGAAATGAAATCGGGGTGAAATGAAATATGTCGCACAAGTACAACCAGATGTATTCGTCAGAGAGAGAGAGAGAGAGAGAGAGAGAGAGAGAGAGAGAGAGAGAGAGAGAGAGAGAGAGAGAGAGAGAGAGAGAGAGAGAGAGAGAGAGAGAGAGAGAGAGAACATCTCCGAAACAGTTTCATCCCGGCGACAGCAACGGCATCGACGGCACTCGGACATCGTGTCAGTCAACAGACAGTGTTACGGCGATAGAGAGGACATGGTATCCGAGTATGTCGACCCTGCTGTGGAATGACGTTGACGCCACAACATCGACATACAGGTTGCTATGGGCCAGGCGGGTTCGGCGTTGGCAGGTTCGGGACAGGGAAAATGTTCTGTTCTCTGATATCGCCTCTCGCCAAACTGTCAAGGAAGTTCAGCCTTTCGTAGGTGGTAGTGTCATGGCCTTGGGAGGAATCTGTGGAGACTTGAAGACGAGGCTGGTTATTATTCAAGGCAACATTACTGTACAGTGGAATCGGGATGAAGTTTCACGACCCGTGCTGCCATGTATCCAACAACAGCCACCCGGTATAGTCTTCCAGCATGATAACGCTAGTGCCCGTACTACAAGACTGACACGGGACATGAACGGTAATGTTTTGCCATGGTCTGCATGTCCTCCTGGCCCTTTCCAACATTTGTGGGATCAACTTGATTATAGGCGACCAGTACCGCCAGCAGGACCTAGAACAATGTCTCACCGACATGGCATCGGATTCCTGCTTATATTACGTCATCAGACGGTGACGTCATCGTTGCGGCGACGTGTTGTGGCCTGCATGGATGCACGAGGCGATTTATAAATGTGCAGTGGGTTCCAAGGCTGTTGTTACACGTATGTTTCGACAATGATAATGTCTCATTTTGACCCCCTGTATCTTTGTATGATTGGTACTGGTAAAGTTTCTGTTTTTATGGAGAGAAATTTTGTTCACATGCCACTAAAACGCCACTCTCGTTATATTAAATGCACATGTATATGTTTTAACTTCCAACATGCTTTAGCTTTTCTTCAATCGTCTCTCAAAGTCCTGGTGCATCTTCTTAGGCCATCTATGATTTTTTATGTTTCTCATCTCCAACCTCAACCAGCGGGTGAAATTTAAATTCTTTTTTAAAAACAACCTGTTTTTATCACAACTTGTGTTACTTATTGTATGACAATTTAAAGAAAAGAACACCTCGTAACAACCCTTAATTATTCTCTTATCAAGTCGCTTTTCTTTGGAAGCGAATTTCTAATAAATATAGCTAGCTTAAGAACTGACCTGTTTTTTTAGTGTGTATTTGTAGGAGTATTTTCTTATCACCTTGGGTTAGAAATTTCAACAGCGGAGGGGTTAATTGAAAGAGGATTTTTTTATTATTTCACGCCGGAACGAAGATTTAGGGCGGGCGGGAGAGGGGAAACACAGAAAAAAATAACAACAGGCCTATGAACGTCTAATTTGGCTTTCAAGTTAAAAAGCTTCATTATTCTCATCGTATTGTACCCCGTATTTGTCCCAAGCGGGCTTTAAAGTATATGTACACACAGAGGGAAGGTGTTCCTTTACATGTTTGTATGTCGTTGGCAATGTCTATGTCTGTACCCTCTTCGCGGATACTCCACATCCATGTGATGGAGATGTTTTCAAACCCATTTACCCCGTGTCAACACCCACCACGGCTGTGATAATAACACGTTACGAGGACAAATATATGTTTGTTTGTTGTTTAACGCCGCACTCGGCATTATTCTTGCTATATGCAGCGATCTCTATATAGTCGAGTCTGGACCAGACAATTCGGTGATTGACATCATGAGCATCAATCCAAGCAATTGGGTTACGATGACATGCATCAACTTGGTTCACGAGTCTGACCACCCGATCCCGTTAGTCGCCTCTAACGACAAGCATAGTCGCCTTTTACAGCAAGCATGGGTTACTGAAGACCTATTCCAACTGGGATCTTCAGGACAAATATTGCAACTGTAGACACTTGAGCGTGCCGTTTATCCAAAAAGTATTCAGGTCACTTTGTTCATAAAGTATTTATTCAAGCATTTTTAACATACATATTCAAAAAATAAGCACACATATTTATCCTTATTTTTAATTGTCCCTTGTGTCAAAGAAACTGTAAACGGTTTTTGAACGCATTGCTTTAAACTTGAAATGAAAGTAGATTCTGTTAACGCTATGAACGGCGGGGCAAATTACATTATGCACCCATGTTTGATGCAGGCTAAAAATAAAATAAACAAGTGAGTGAGTATGGTTTTACGCCGCTTTTAGCAATATTCCAGCAATATCACGGCGGGGGACACCAGAAATGGGCTTCACACATTGTACCCATGTCGGGAATCGAACCCGGGTGTTCTGCGTGACGAGCGAACGCTTTAACCACTAGGCTACCCGACCGCCCCTAAATAAACAAGAGATGGTTATTCGATGGTGATGTATTTGATAGGGGTATATCATAGGCGATATTACATGTTTCATATAAATGAGTGTCTCACAGCAGGAGGGGCGGTGGTGTAGCCTAGTCTAGTGGTTAAAGCGTTCGCTCGTCACGCTGAAGACCCGGGTTTGATTCCCAACATGGGCACAATGTGTGAAGCCAATTTCTGGTGTCCCCCGTCGTGATATTGCTGGAATATTGCTAAAAGCGGCGTAAAACTCACTCACTTACAGCAGGTGACGTGCGCGTGGCGTCTTAAGGAGCATGGGGGTCGTAATTTCACCGTACACCTTGATGAGCAGAGTGAGGTTAGTGTATACTCTCTTTTGTCCGGCAGTTTGTGTTTTGGATCCAATTTTTTCAGTGTTTTGGCGACTAGTTTCAGCCTAATAACGTTTGTTATGTCTTGGTCAAGCGTATACTAGTACTTTCGTTAACCCGGCAGTGTATCAATAAAAGAGACATTGGTAGGCTCCCTTCATCTTTCAACGATGAGTGTGTGAATTCTGTTTTTCTCGGCTGTCGGTTATATTCCACCTTCATCGAAAGCCTGTTAGTAATCGAATCTGGGCCAGGCAAACCAGTGGTTGATAGCATGAGCACGGATCCATGCAGTCCGGGGATACTAAAGCACTATTAGCCAAGTCACATATTGTGGTCACCTGGTCCATTGGATTCGAAACAGGGGCATACAATGTATCTCAATGACGGTAATCGAACTAAATGGACTCTCAAGAAGCTATTGATGCAGAATATCAAAATCTAGCGGATCTTGGCATCAGTATAATGATGATCTTAAAAACAGTTTGGAACAACGTAGGAACAATACCTCAATCTGGAATACAAAGTAGATTAGTTCTTCAGTAGATTAGGGGCACGGTTGGCCAAAGGTCTCAGGCGCCGCATTTAGATGTGCAGAGCTGCCTCCCTTGGTCGTGCCAAAATCTATGATCTTGGGTTCGAATCCTGGTTCGCCCCGATTATGTTTCTAGGTTTATCAGCACCATACCCGTGCTCGTGGGTTTCACCGAAGTGGTAAACGTCTGAGACCTGCATCACTTCGGGCTGACACGCCGTGATATAACTGGAGACTTTTCAACCCGGCTTTAAACCCGACTCACTCACTCACTCTCATTTAAAGTTCGCCCTTCTCCCTATATTTATGATGTCTTGCTTTGATGAGGTCAGGGTGCGAAGTCACTTGATCTGCTGCAACACGAACCAGTCTCACAAACTCTTCTACGTCGAAGCTGTAGTTAGTGTAGTTAGGCAACACAGTCTGCAATGTACAGAGTTGACACACGATGGTGATTTGAGACATAGGAAATAACAAAGGACTTGGTATCTCGATTCGATAAATATGCAAAGGAGGCCATCTTGCAGGAACTGATTAAGTAATTTCTATACATCGCCTCAATGCCCACTTGCCCTTTAAATGTTCCCAAAATGTTCAGACCCTCCCTAACATGTAAGGTACATTTCCAACGCCCTCCGCTCGAATTGCCGAACTGTTAATTGGTATTGCATTTGCAACATACCGACCGCAATTTCGTATCTCGAATTTATCATGTAAGACCATTCGTCACCACTCGCCCCTTTCCGTAACCTGCAAGAAGACTCGTCCCCCTATTGATGAATGTTATGTGCGAAAATATTTCAAGTTCTTCGTTAAAGAATCCCTCAGAAATAATTTTTGATTTTACATATGTCTTGCATCTAAAAATATACCCAAGACACAGTTAAATGTGTTCAATCATACTGTATAATTCCGCATGTCCAGCACTGCTTTAAATTGCATCTGAAATATGTATAATATATGGGGAAATATATGTGAACCATTACGCAACGAGTCGACAATTGTTTTAGCTACGCCCGTTTGCGCTAAGACGGAACCCGGTCGCAAAAATTGCCATGAGAGGGGCACGAGTTGCTATTCGGCTTGTACCGGAATAACACGAGTTGGTCACAAATGATGTAAGACGCCATTCTCCGAATGTTTCCGATATTTTCCGAATCAAATAGATCTAGGGGGAATAACTCTAAGTTTGTTTTCTGTCGTCTGCTAAGTAGATAAATGCCTCACTGTGGTATTCATTCTGCAATATAATTAAGTGTCCGGTAGGATGAATATGTTGTCCACTGGTCTCACGGATGACGTTATATGTTGTCGACCGATTTCAAGTGGGATGAGCCTATTGGCTCACACACAGGGTACATCACGCCATGTGTCCCGGTGGATCTGTTGACAACAAATGTATCTCACCGACATTCATTCATATAGACCCGAAATATATGTCCGAAGTTTCACTGAGTAAAACGCTTAGATTCAGCCATTTTTGACAGTCGGCAGACGACGCAAACGAACCGAGTTACTTCCCTTTACGCAAAGCATTCAGATAACCATCGGCACATTTAAGCTCAGCGATAATCACGCAAGATAAGCAAGTTACCTGAGGTAACCAACCAGAAGCTTGTATTTGAATGTAAGGTGATATTAGGGTAGATGTACCCATTATGTTAGTTATTTCAAACCCTAAAACACACATATCCAATACAGCCCATGAAAGTCTAAAATATTTGGCAAGTCTAGAATACTGCATTGTTTTTTATATACAAATGCTTGTTTTATCTGATTGTTTTTTATATGTGATTCTTCGTTTTATCTGATTGTTTTTTATATGTGATTCTTCGTTTTATCTGATTGTCCGTTACATACGTTTGTTCGTTTTATCTTGTTGTTCGTTACAACCGATATTGACCCCATTCAGCATAAATTCAATAACGATAGATGTTGACAATAGATTACAAAGGTAGGTGACTTTCGGATGGTATTCGCGCGTGTCTTTTTTTATGACAAGAATCCATTTCTGAATCGTGCTACTATTTCCTTACCCAAGAGACAAAATGGAGAGAGACATGTTACCTTATTTTCTGGGATGAGGGTCTCAATGTTCTCCCAGGTGATGTAGTTGATGCCTCTCATCCTGGCCAGGTCAGGGTACATGTCGTCGATGCCGCACCTGTAACTGAACACGACACACAGTCATGCTTGTCCCACCACTGTGACAACAGGGCCCACTTGCACAAAGCGATCTTAGCGCTAAGATGATCGTAACTCCCATACTTTAACATAGGCTTACGATAGTCTTAGCGCTAACGTTTTTTAACGTTTTTTACATTGTTTTCAAAATGGGTGCTTTTTTTAACATTGTTGTAAATTCATTATTCCCCTGTTGCTGGAAAGTAGTATTTTCAGTAATTCTATGTCCAAAAACTCATAAACTCATAAGTTCCTTAAAACCAGAATGTTCTATGTCCATGTCAATGCCCATGTCCAATCAAAATCTTGACACAGATCATGTGACAAGGAGGCAGGAGCGCTTGGTTCCAAATCATTTGGAGATAGAACCATTTAGTTATCTTATCAACTGTACAATGTGAACATTAAAAACATATAAACTAATTTGTATTTGTTTGTTTCATGTAAAATAAATGCATATTGTTTTTAAGTTAATATTATACATCAAATATCATTTACCCAAAACTTGTAAAAGTGGAGACAGGACATCACGGTTTTTAGGCGACCCGGCGGGCGGATACAGGCCCGTTTGTCAGTGTGTGTCTGTGTGTGTTTGGGGGTCGGGGAGGACCCATTGTCTCACGTCATCAAAGGTACTGATTCAGGATGTTGTTCCATCACGTGTCTCAAAATAGCCTATTGTTGAGTTCCAAATCATTTGGAGATAGAACCATTTAGTTATCTTATCAACTGTACAATGTGAACATTAAAAACATATAAACTAATTTGTATTTGTTTGTTTCATGTAAAATAAATGCATATTATTTTTAAGTTAATATTATACATCAAATATCATTTACTCAAAACTTGTAAAAGTGGAGACAGGACATCACGGTTTTTAGGCGACCCGGCGGGCGGATACAGGCCCGTTTGTCAGTGTGTGTCTGTGTGTGTTTGGGGGTCGGGGAGGACCCATTGTCTCACGTCATCAAAGGTACTGATTCAGGATGTTGTTCCATCACGTGTCTCAAAATAGCCTATTGTTGAGTCTAAACATATCCATATACAATAATGCGGATTCTAAAGTCGATTTCCCAGCAAATACTGCTACGTATGTATGTATGTAGATCTTGACTTTTGGGTGAACGGGTTGAACAAAATTCTGTGTGAAACTTTGTTGATGAAAAGAAAAACATTGCTTTCAGTAGTAAGTTTGCATGGGTACTTTCTGACCAGGAGATGGTTGCCAGTTACAGTCCTTTGTTATTAATAATGGTGAAACTGTTACTGTTGTATAGCTTTAGGTAGAAAACAGAATAATAATATTCGTTGACCCAAGTACTTATATTCTTACGCGCATTCTGACTGGTTGTCGTTTTTGCGCACGTAACATTGGCCGATAGGAGGACGAGTATTCCTGCAGATTACAGAAAAGGGCGACTGGTGAGGAATGAGTTGCAAGCATTGGGTGTTGGCGGTGGTTTTGAACTTCAAATTCTGCCCTCGAGTACCAGAATCGTGCTTGTTGGTTTGACGAAGGTGTGTTGCGTATATAAGGTGAGGTGAGGTGAGGTGAGGTGAGGTGAGGTGAGGCGAGTTTAGGCGAGGTGAGTGGAGTTTAACGTCGCATTCAAGATTATTGCATTTATGTAGAAAGGTGAGGTGAAATGGGGTTTAACGTCGCGTTCAAGATTATTGCACTTATATAGCGACGTGCATGCACGCGTATGTGTGTGTTTGTGTGGCTGCTTGTACTAGTCCGGACTGATGCCGATTTACAGTGCTAGCACACTGAGATACCCTGCCGCAGTTTTAACATGAATACCCCACTCAGACACAGTATACTGACTCCGAGCCGACCAGTCCTTGTTTTAGCCCCATAATGCCGAGCGCCAGACAGGGTAACAACAAGTACCATCTTTTAACGTCTTTTGGTATGACGCGGCTGGGGATCGAACCCCGGACCTTCCGCTCTCCGGGCGGACGCTCTACCATTAGACCACGGAGGCGGTCTTATGTAGAAACGAGCATGAACGTGTTTGTATGGCTGCTTGTATTAGTCCAGACTAAGCCGATTTTAGCCCATTTAGATACCACGCCACAGTGTAACACGAATACCCCATTCAGACACAGTACTCCAGTCCGTGTTTTATCCCTTAATGCAGAGCGCCAGACAGGATAACAACAAGTGCCGCCCTTTAACGTCTTTTAGTATGAATCGACCGGATCACGAACCCCCGACTTTCCGCTATCCAGGTAGACGCTCTATCCACTAGACCACGGAGGCGGTCCTTTGCGTATATGAATTGAGGCTCTTCGAGCTTTCATCCCATGTTAAGTTGATTGACCTTGGAATAACTGTAATGCCATTTAAATCATTTCCACAATCATTAGAAATGTAAAACTAGAGTCACTTGAACGATTCCGACTATAGTATAAGCATGTGTCTATGAATCATTCCTACATAGCGATGACACGAAACGTGAGCGTATCCTGCCCCAAAGGTGGCACCGTCACAAACAGATGCAACTTATCAGCCTCAGTGAGTGAGTGAGTGAGTGAGTATGGTTTTACGCCGCTTTTAGCAATATTCCAGCAATATCACGGCGGGGGACACCAGAAATAGGCTTCACACAATGTACCCATGTCGGGAATCGAACCCGGGTCTTCGGCGTGATGAGCGAACGCTTTAACCACTAGGCTACCCGACTCAACATGCTTACATTTCAAAGACGGTCGCCCAGTCTGGTAGGTAGAGCATGTACGTCAGCCCTGCGCCGTGGAGGCCGATGAACAGGTCAGTGTTGTGGATAATCTGTGAGAAATAAGGCAATAATGACGCTCGAGTACTATTACTCGTATATGACCTTGACCTTTATAGGGTGACCTATAAGTCACGTTAAGTATGGGTTGCTGAAGACCTATTCTACCCCGGATCTTCACGGGTCAACTGCAATAACAAGCCAAATTACTCTAAATACATTGTTTATTGCTTCTCCATGCTTCTTTATGGTATGACAAATATGGCGTCAACCATCACCAAGGGACACAACTCAGTCACACAATTGCGTGAAAACATATTTCATGAGCCCAGGGCAAATAGTAACACAGAAACGAGTTCCTTGAATGACCTTCAAGTGACCTTGACCTTTATGATTAGCACTCCTAACCTTATTAGATTCAACCCCGAGGGTGACATTTACCCACTTACATCTAAATACAGAAACTATTTCAGGATGTACATGAAGACTCAAGGAACATGGGGTCGCAATTTCAAAGTACACAGCAATGAGCAGAGTGAAGCTGGTGTATACTCTCTTTTACCCGGCAGTTTATAATCCGCATCAATATAATCAGCATCCTTAGTGACCATCCGATCAGCATCCCCACCCCTCCTATGCCCACCCGATCCAAATAAGCCGGCTTGTCTGTGGCTGACCTACCTGTAGCTGGTCTATGAACGGTATTGACCTGCAACACACAACATTCAACACTTCAATACGTTCGTCTCGTACATCGTCAAAATTTAATGATGTTATTGAATACATTGTAATTTCACGGTCTGATTCACTTCAGTTATATGCCCTCACTCTGAATATTTTATACAAAACACTCTCTGTGTGTCATGTACCAATGTGTCGAGGGAATTCGTTGTTAAACTGGTCTTTTTTCTAAACGGTGTGTAAATTCTAAATCTATGAATTATCGTTTTAATTCCGGAGTGTTCAAATGTTAAACATTGAAGACTTGCAACACAAGTTATCAACCTAACAACAACGATTCTGTGCATACTTATTGAAATCCACCATCTGTACCTCCAAGTCAGAGAGTCGTTGTAAGCCAGCAAGCATCTAAACGAATGGAAATCAACTAATTTGAAATATAATATCATATGAAACTAAACGCCATCAAAATGCTATCAACTACACAAATGGTGATGTAATATTTCTAATGAGATCAACATTTTCATATACGTTTAGTCCAGTCTATTGTATTTTTAAACCAAAGAGTAGATTCTTTTAAGAAATAATTCTGCGCAAAATACTGCTTCATGTGACCTTTGGTTTGTATCTGTGCGTGTTGCCCCAGTTGTGTCACGTGTCATAAACTCACAACAGCGATACATGTATAAGTTAACACAAGCATGACGTAGCGCCTTATTAACACTGCTGTAGAGTTCATGTACGAACGATGCCTGCATTTGATCAGTAAGTAAAGCTCTGTAAAAACATATAGGTACGAAGCTGAAAGGGCTACATTGGGTAATTGTGAACGGTGTTGGTATACCATTTGGGATTGTGCTAATTTTCATGTGTATTTGTAAGCAACTAAAAATATATCGGGTTATGGTGAACCGTATTTCACACAAATACGAAGCTTATCTAGAGCTCTGCACAGTGTGATGGAAGTAGTTTTAAGGAGATGAACATACTTCCTCCTGGTTTAGGATTCGCCGGATTTTGGTACTTCTGACGAGAAATGTCACCCTGAGCTTGTCCACCTGAACAGGTAAAAGATGAATTGTAAGATAAACATGAGGATAAAAGCGAGAATACCGTATTGCCTATTGTAAATAGGGAGGTGAACTTGGGTTATTATTATTTTACTCTTAAGGCGACGTTCATGCACGTGTGTGTGGCTGCTTGGACTCGTCCGGATTAACACCGGGTCTATAGTGCTAGCCAACTGAGATACCATGCCGCAGTTTATCACGATTACCTCACTCAGACACAGTTTGTGAGGGATCGGTCCTTGTTTTATCCCCTGGAACACCAGATTCTTTGATATTACTACAGGTAATCAGCCATGTCGACGTTCATGCACGTGTGTGTGGCTGCTTGGACTCGTCCGGATTAATACCGGTTTTATAGTGCTAGCCCACTGAGATACCATGCCGCAGTTTATCACGATTACCTCACTCAGACACAGTTTGTGAGGGATCGGTCCTTGTTTTATTCCCTGGAACACCAGATTCTTTGAAATTTCTACAGGTAATCGGCCATGTCGTGTATTATTAACTATCGTCATATAAGTGAGTGAGTATTGTTTTACGCCGCTTTTCGCTACATTCCAGCAATATCACTGCAGGGGACACCAGAAATGGGCTTCACACATTGTACCCATGTGGGATTCGAACCCTGTACTTCGCTTTAACCACTTGGCTACCCCACCGCCCCCTATAGTAATATGAAAGAATCGGGTGTTCTTCAACTTCTTTGGAGTACTATACTAAGCATCAATGGACACACACACGCACGCACGCACGCACGCAGGCACGCACACAAACACACACAGACGCACATACACACACACGCACGCACGCACGCACACGCACACAAACACACGCAAACACATACACGCACGCACGCACACAAACACACGCACGCAGGCACGCACACAAACACACACAGACGCACATACACACGCACGCACGCACACAAACGCACATACACACACGCACGCACACAAACGCACGCACGCACGCACGCACGCACGCACACATCGTCTGTACTGTTGTTTAACGACTCACCAAGGGGCCTGTTTGTTGAATATTTAGATTGTGCAGTACATGCTCCGAGAACGCATTCACCAAGCCGCTTGTCTTGCACCCCTTGACCTGAAATATAAATCGTTATCGTTTACCCTGAGCGTCGATACTTAATCATATTAACAGGGCTCCAGATAATGTATTGAGCCATTGCCTTACTCACAAGTTATCACTCACAATGGGTAATCATAGCGCTCTTTGGGAAGTCAATATATTTCCCTTGGGTCCAGTCTAATGGCTACTTTTACACCGACGAGTAGAAATTTGATTAAAGATAATTTTGCTTAAAATGCTGTGACTTGTATCAGTTCGATGGCTACCCCAAGCGTGTAACATGTCACATAAACTCACAACAGCGATATAAATGTCTAAATAACAATAAGAGAGACATGGCGCCATTTATGCATTATTTACTGCAGTCGAGTTCATGAATGTGTGATGTTAGTAAAATCAGATAAAGAAATACTTGTATACACGTTGAAAAGGATACATTGGGTAATTATGCACAGTATTTTTTTATTTAAAAAAAATACTGCGTATTTGTACCCAATTAACTTAAAAGTAATTGGGTAATGGTAGTTATTCTTGTAGTTTACCATATACGCAGCCCATCTTGAGGTCAGGTTATATTAACTGACTCGTATACGACAAGGAATAAGTATCTCACAACAGGTGACGTCTCCAGGATCAGAGGGGTCGCAATTTCACAGTACAGAATAATGAGCAGGTATTTTCAAGTGTATACTATCTTTTGCCGAGCAGTGAACAAATCCACATCTAAACAAAAACACGTAGTCTATTTGGAGTTTAGAATTATATTAATTGACTCGTAATTTGACAAGCAAACAAAAGGAAACAATGAACGGGGGGGCCTAGTCGTCTAAGACGCCGCGATTCGCTGTGCAGAGTTGCGTCCCTTGGGCACGCCAGAAACCTATATTTGTGGGTTCGAGTCCCGGTTTGCCCCGATTATGTTTCTAGGTTTGTCAGCACCATACCCGTGCTCGTGGGTTTCACCGAAGTGGTAAACGTCTGAGACCTGCATCACTTCGGGCTTTCCTCCCACATTAAGCTGACACGCTGTAACTGGAAGACTGTTAAAAGCGGCGTTACACTCACTAATTCAGAATGATGCCTGTTTTGCTACTGATGCAGCTGTTACTGAATGTCTTACCGGTGCTAAGTTATAATAAATTCCGAGCATCATCCGAGCAGGAAGCGAGAAGATGGCGTCCTGAAAACAAACCTAAAACAGAATACACTGAAATATAATATATATAGTCTTAAAGTGTAAAAAAACACTATTTGAGTAGCACAAATGTTGGTAGTCCGGTTTATAAGCTTCTGAAAGGGGTGGCCTAGTGGTTACAGTGTTCGCTCGTGACACCGAAGACTTGTGTTCGATTCCCATTACGCACGCCCACACACCAATCCACGCACTCACTCACCAACCCACCTACCCATTCACTCTCCCAAACACGCCCATCGACACACCCACTCATACCCAACAGCCACACTCACTCACTCACTCACCCACCTACCCATCAACTCACTCACTCACTAACTCATACCCAACAGCCGCACTCACTCACTCACTCACTCACTCACCAACCCACCCACCTACCCATCCACTCTCTCACACACGCCCATCGACATACTCACTCATACCCAACAGCCACACTCACTTACTCACTCACTCACTCACTCACCAACTCACTCACCCACTCACTCACTCACCCACCCACTCACTCACTCACTCACTCACTCACTCTCTCACTAACTCACTCACTCACTCACTCAATCTCACTCACTTAACCCACCCACTCACTCACTCACTCACTCACTCACCCACCCACACGCCCGCCCGCCCACCCACTCACTTACTTACTCACTCACCCACCCACTCACTCACTCACTCACTCACTGAAATATCAAAACAACGTCACCCTCTTCCCGTCCAAGTGTTTCAGCAGCATGACGTCATGTCGGGTGAACGCGTCACGTATCTCCGTCATGTACCCCCGGAGCTCAAAAAGACTCTGAAAACACAAAAACGTATTTTTACAGTGCAATGCCCGGTGAAAACATCGCGTCGAGTGAGTGAGTGAATGTTGTTTTAATACCCAGTCAGCAATATCACTGCTGTCACAGCGGTATGCTGATAATCGATTCCGGGACAAATAAATGAGTAACTGATAACATCAGAAACGAGCTACGAGATCTGGTACGAAAACACACGGTCGAACATGCAAAATACCGTTTTCTGATGAGGTCAATGGCGAGAGCACCAACGAAGGTAAAAGGTTCATTCAGAAACGCTTGTGAGCAACAGTTCCATAATTTTGAAAAGTTTGTAGAACAGTGCCCCATTCCACAAATTTTAGCGCTGAGACGATCCTAACTCCTGTACTTTAAGACAGACAGAAGACAATCGTAGCGCTAAGATCGCTTTGTGGAACGGGGCCATCTTAGCGCTAAGGTAATTGTAACCCCCATACTTTAACACTGGCTTACGATAGTTGTAGTGCTAAGATTGCTTTGTGGAACGGTGTCCAGGGGTCTAGGTTTTCGAAACCATCTTATCCCTATGAGTATCTTAAAGCTATCTTAAGGAAATCGTACACTGTTCACTAGGTGGCCTAGTGCTACGGAAAGTTGCGTCCCTTGGTCGAGTCTTGATCCGCTGGTCGTGGCTTCGAAACCAGATAATGATCCTTGGTCTGTCAGCTCCGCATTCGGGTTCATGGATTTCAAAATATTACAATGGTTTTAGACCTTGACCTTATCTTAGGCTAACACCCAATTCTGCTGCTGAAACGCGTAAAACCAAACACACTATACAAGAAGACGTACATATTAATGACGGCTGGAACTGTGTATTACCGTGTCCCACACAAGGATGTTGACGTCGTTGGAGAAGGAGTTGTTGACGTGTAGGCTGATGTAGAGGTTCATGAAAACGCAGGTATGATGAAATATGTTGTATTCTGAAATTTCGTAATTGGTAAAATCATGAACATCTGGGGGAGATAAGCCTACTTCCGGAATCTACAGATTCTAGTAATTTCTCTAACTTAAACCACGTTATGGTTGATATATTATTTCTCTTCTATACTTTTGAATAATGACAAATAGTTCTGTCAGTTTTATTTGTTTACGATGCACGTTCAGAATATTGCCAGTGCATTCCCGGCTCAGAGTGAGTGAGTTGGGTTTAACGCCGCTTTTAACAGTATTCCTGTTATATCACGGCGTGTCAGCTTAATGTGGGAGGAAAGCCCGAAGTGATGCAGGTCTTAGACGGTTACCAATTCGGTGAAACCAACGAGCACGGGTATGGTGCTGACAAACCTAGAAACATAATCGGGTCGAACAGGGATTCGAACCCACAATCATAGGTTTCTGGCGTGCCCAAGGGACGCAACTCTGCACATTAAGTTGACATGCTGTGATATAACTGGAATAATGTTAAAAGCGGCGTTAAACCCAACTCACCCACTCTTTCAAGGTACACAATCAAGGAAGCCAAGGGGCATACTACGCCATACGTACCTTCGTCCATTTTGATAATGATGGTTGGTCGTTCGATGATGACGTCACATTCACCAGTAGCCAATGGCTGCGTGGGAAGAGATGTGAAATGTTCCATCTCTCTCATCCTGGGGATCACGTGGAAGAGTTAAAGGATAGCAATGACGGAATCAACAGTTTAACACCACTCATCCGTTTGGGTTATGTCAGTGATCTTACCGACGACATGCGAATCATCAAGTCAACATGGGCATGAAGCATGGACATAACTATTGTAGCCGAGAGGGGACATCGCTTTATCGGACGCGAGATTGCGACAAAGCGATAATACGAGACGAGAAAGAAATAGTTTCTCGCGCAAAATTTTTTTTCTCGTCGCGTGTTATTGCCCTTTTGTCTCGCTTATCGCAATCTCGCGACCATAATTGAAGTCGATAAAGCGATGTCCACTCTCGGCCTCCATACAAACCATGAAACAAACTGGGACTGTCAACTAAGAAGATATTTCCTTTAAAAAACATAGCGAGTTTGTTTTAACGCCGCTTGAGCAGTACTTGAGATACATCAGGGCGTGTCAGCTTGATGGGGTGGAGGTGGGGGCTGCTCTGGTGAAACCCAAGAACACCGATATGTAGCTGATAAACCATGAACCATTACCATGAGGCCAGTGGCCGCTTGTTTATTTGTGGTGACGTCATTGCTGCGTCCAGTCCAACCTTGTCCAGATCACAGTGACCCCCAAAAGTGTTATTAAGTAGAATATCGTTCCTGTACCTGCAACAGATGGGACGAGAATCAAGGTCATAGATCAGGGTCATGGTGTAACGTTCTTCAACCAGTTCTTAAGCCTGACTCTAATAAAATGTAGACTTTAAAAGGTAATGCCATAGTATTTTCGTTAAAGATATTGATGCGTTGCACCAACAAAAACATACCATATATGAAGGTTAATATATGAATAATTACATATATTCAAGGTATATTTGATTGGTTTGATGCACAAACGATCATACTGGTGTGTTGCGTGAACCGACGCTCTTGAACGCGTCACATGTGACGTCATAGATCCAAGATCAAGATGCATCACTTTTCTCGTGTAGGATTAGCGTGTAAAGTTTGGAAATTACGTGTAGCATATCATGATGGAAGTAAATACACTCCGTGATATCGCTTGACTGTTTGTTATTTTTGTCATTAGGTGGTGCACATAAGAAACATCTTATTAACGTACATACTTCTCTATATGTTTCTATGATGTGTGTTTCTTTTGGCGGTGAGTATATACAGTAAGCTACGGTTATAACGAACTCAAAGGGACCACTGATTCTAGTTCGTAATAACCGTAATTCGTTATAAGCATATATACAGCATATATACAACAAATGGCCGGGACTAAACAATAAGTTCGTTATATCAGTCAGTTCGTTATAAGCGTGTTCGTTATAAACGTAGTTTACTGTATTGATTACCGTGTTCAGGTCGAAACAAGGCCATGCTTTAGGCTTTTTATGAAAGGGGTGAGTGGGTTGGGCCTTATGACGCTTTAAACACTATTTATTATGTTCTGTCACAGATTTATGTGGGAGTGAAACGGAGGCTCGTAGTTTGTGTTTGTTTGTTGTTTAACGCCGCACTCAGCAATAGTCCAGCTATATGACGGCGGTCTGTAAATAATCGAGTCACGACTCCGGTGATTGACATCATGAGCATCAATCCACGCAATTGGGACATGACATGACATGCATCAATCAAGTCAGCGAGTCTGACCACCCGATCCCGTTAGTAGCCTCTTACGACAAGCATAGTCGCCTTCTACGGCAAGCATGGGTTGCTGAAGACCTATTCTATACCGAATCTCCATTCATAGCGGAACATAATCACGTTCAGCGAAATCCTACAGGTCCAATAAAGACAAAGTACATCTCACAGCTAGGGTTTTATAACTGCGTAACGAAGATCCGTAACGTTCAACGCATAGAATATTAAGAGATATTGAAATGAAATTGGTATTAATCATTTGATGTATACAAACAAATAAGTTATGCTGATATTATCTGTAGATGTAATTCGTGTTAAAACATACCAAATGAAAGAACCGCCGATACAGCGTCTGCCCGGAGACCTGAAGGTCGGTGATTTGATCCCCGGCCGCATCATACCAAAAAGACGTTAAAAGATGGTACTTTTTGTTACCCTGCCTGGCGCTCGGCATTAAGGGGCTCAAACAAGGACTGGTCGGCTAGGAGTCAGTTAAATGTGTCTGAGTGGGGTGTCCTTGTTAAACTGCGGCATTGTATCTCAGTGTGCTAGCACTGTAAATCGGCATCAGTCCGGACTAGTACAAGCAGCCACACAAACACACACATACACATGCATGCACGTCGCTATATAAGTGCAATAATCTTGGACGCGACGTTAAACCCCATTTCACCTCACCTTTCTACATAAATGCAATAATCTTGAATGCGACGTTAAACCCAATCTCACTTAATGATGACCTAAAGTAACTAGTCCGACATTAGTCCGGACTGGTCACAAGCAGCAACACACACACCGTTATGGACGTCGCTATAAGAGTACAATCATCCTGAAAGCGACGTTAAACCCCATCTCACCTCATGATGACCTAAAGTAACACGTAATACAGGGGTGATATCTACAATTACAAACATCTTGAAGAACGTATCTCGCAGAACAAGGACCTCTGAGTAGAAAACACCCATGCCGCTAAAAATTGTTCAATAATTTAGGCCTCGTTTGGGAATGGGTGATCGATGACTACCTTCAAAATATTCACAAACAGAATATACTTCATGCGTTTTCAGTTACAATTGCAAGGATCAAAGCTGCTACCTCAATCTTGCCCGACTCCGGGGGATTAAATACATGACATGGGAAAACGCGGACAACTCAAGACCTATTCTACCCCGGATCTTCACGGGTCTCTAGCCTACTGAATACCCTCAGTCCGACACAGTATACTGACTCCCAGTCGACCAGTCCTAGTTTAATTCCCTCCAGGCAGGGTAACTATACGAGTGTCACATTTTAACGTCTTTCGGTATGACGTGGGGATCGAACTACCGACCTCCCGCCCGTGACGAAACCGTGCTGCCCTTCGAGATTGTTAGTCTGCCGACTACGAAACATTGTAAAAAATATCTTAGCTGTCTCACTCTTTAAAGGATCGTACGTGAATTGCGTCAAAGAACCGCACCTGTCTCTTGTTGCCATTTTGGCGTTACGTAGATCCAGGTACACGTTTTTCCCCCGGCAGAACCTGAGTGCATCCGTACATTCCAGGGACGAGTCAGACTGCGGAAAAATGAGTGAGTGAGGGATGGAGTGAATGAGTGAGTTGGATTAAACGCCGTTTTGAGCAATTTTTTGTTTGTTTGTTAGTTGTTTAACGCCGTACTCGGCAATAGTCCATCTATATGACGGCGGTCTGTACATAATCGAATCTGGACCAGACAATCCAGTGATTGATATCATGAACATCGGTCCACGAAATTGACATGCATCAAATAGGTCAGGTCAAATAGGTCGTATTTGCAGGAAGCCGAGGTGACATATCCACTCTTGTGAAACCCATGAGCATGGGAACGGTGATAACAAACAAAGGACTAAAACCAGGGCGAATCAGGGATTCAAACCACTAGACTATCCTGTTACAACAAAGGGACATAACTGTATACAGATAATAACGGCGGTATAGTTCATTGGGCCTACTTGGTTTAATGAGATAACCATTATCAGTTGTCCCAATTCATTACACATTAACATTAAAATATAATGAATTTAGGAATTCGACCCAGATATCATTATTTTATCGTTTTAAGTTTCCAACGCCCAACTTATATATGTGTGAGATTGTGTGGTTTGAAGTGTGGTATTTCAAGACATCTTAGACCGCCTTTAGAATAGGATGCGACATATAGGGCCATCGCGAACCAACGACGCGCACATGATACCATTCACTGGTTTGTCTGGTCCAAACTCGATTATTGACAGACCACCGCCATAAAGACGGAATCATCCCGAGTAAGGAGTTAACCAACGAAAGGTAGTTCTGGGAGCTTTTCCCATAGCTCTGGTGCGACGGTTAAACATTTCGGTCAGTGCTTCAAGACAAATAATTATTGTTTTAGTCGTATATTTTTTCAGGATGTGCAGAGAATAAATGTCTTTGTGACATCTTTTGTAAAGCGTTGAATCAATCATACTTTGTCGTTGGAATATTTCTTTTTGTGAATATGCAAAATTGATATTTTAAAGAAAAGGATTCTCAGTTTGCACCTTTATAATCTCAGGCCAACGTAGAGCATGCTCATAACATATAGCAATTGTCTCAGAAGAATGTACAGTTAACAAAGAGCGGTAGTTTATGTTTACTTGATCAAATATGCATTATATTCCAGTATGTGTATGGTACGTTGATAGAAAAATACAATTTTCCAGCAATATATTCACACTTTCTATATTGTGTTGAAATGGATATCCTTAATAGCGATTGAATGGCATGGTGTCTGGTACTAACCTTGCGAGAACCTCTACAGAATGTCCTCATGTTGTCCATCCTATCTTTCACATACCCAAAGTCGGCCTGACGCCAGAACAGATTTCTCCTACGATCAGTAACTGATTGTCTGTAAAGAGAATGGCCACATGCTATTTCCTACATGTACATGTTCTTGACTCTACACGTATATGTTCATGGGCACTGCATGTATATGTTCCTGAGTATACATGTACTTCTTCCTGAATATACATGTATATGTTCCTGAGTATATAGGTATATGTTCCCGAGTATACATGTATATGTTCCTGAATATACATGTATATCTTCCTGAGTATATGTGTATATGTTCCTGAGTATACATGTATAAGTTCCTGAATATACATGTATATGTTCCTGAGTAGACATGTATATGTTCCTGAGTAGACATGTATATGTCTCTGAGTATATATGTATATGTTCCTGAGTATATGTGTATATGTTCCTGAGTATACATGTATATGTTCCTGAGTAGACATGTATATGTTCCTGAGTATACATGTATATGTTCCTGAGTATATATATATATATGTTCCTGAATATACATGTATATGTTCCTGAGTAGACATGTATATGTTCCTGAGTAGACATGTACATGTTCCTGAGTATATATGTATATGTTCCTGAGTATTCATCTATATGTTCGTGAGTATATATGTATATGTTCCTGAGTATATATGTATATGTTCCTGAGTATATATGTATAAGTTCCTGAATATACATGTATATGTTCCTGAGTAGACATGTATATGTCCATGGGTATACATCTACATGTTCCTGAGTATTCATCTATATGTTCGTGAGTATACATGTTCCTGAGTATACATGTCTGTCTCTGAATATACATGTATATGTTCCTGAGTCTACATGTATATGTTCCTGAGTCTTAATGTATATGTTCCTGAGTCTACATGTATATGTTCCTGAGTATACATATACATGTTCCTGAGTATACATATACATGTTCCTGAGTATACATATACATGTTCCTGGGCACAGCAAGTACATGATCGTGTTAACTGAACTCTGTCTCTTTTCTGGACTATGCTACACGTAAGTGAGTAAGGATTTGTTCGTTGTTGAACGTCGTAAGAAGTAATACCCCAGCTTTTGCCCAGATGTAAATGAACATCCACAAACTCAATTAGGACACGTTGACATTCAGTCAACCAAGCCACCGAGCCTGACCATCCGATTTATTTGGTCACCTTTCACGACAAGCCTGGGTTGCTGGGACCCAATACTCTTACCCGAAATCCCGACGGTTGTCAAGTGAGTGAGTAGGTTGGTCTTAACCCAGCCATGAACAGTGTTGCATAACTCTGTTTCTTTGAACTACGACCATTGGATCCCGTACGACTAAAGGGCCGTAACTCCGCACAGTAGTATGGCGTGATGCCATTTGACATGGAAGCCTTACGCACAATGTCATTCTTGGACAAGGGCGTGTTATTAAATATTCAAACTTATTCCTACCTCCTTGTCGGTTCGACATCATCCGGGCACAGAGGCAGGCTCTTTCTCTGCGACTCCGGGCATTCCTCCTCGTATCCCCAGCACCTCGTCTCTCTCAACAAGGCCTTGGATGACACACAAAATCTGTCATTAGTTTGACGTGAGCCGTACAACAATACTGGTATTACTCTGTTGTTACTCTGGCGGTCGGGTAGCCTAGTGGTTGAAGCGTTCGCTTGTCACGCCGAAGACCCGGGTTCGACTCCCGACATGGGTACAATGTGTGAAGCCCATTTATGGTGTTCCCCGCCGTGATATTGCTGGAATATTGCTAAAAGCGGCGCGAGTGAGTATTGTTTTACGCCGCTTTTAGCAATAATTCAGCAATATCACGGCGGATGGCAACAGAAATGGACTTCACACATTGTACCCATATAGAGAATCGAACCCGGGTCTTCGGTGTAACGAACGAACGCTTTAACCACTTTGCTATATGCTAGAGAAGTCTGTTCGGCAGAATGTTCACATGTTATAAAATCGAGGTACTATTAAAGACAGTCTAGTCAGCTGTAATTATCAAATTTTAAACATATGAAAAGTGGTGTGACAATAATCAGACATGTCAACTATACCTTCTTCGTGTTTGCTCTTCTGGTTAACTATATAAAAATGACTAAATGTTCTTTATAATGTTCATCAAACTTCAAGGTAAATTTACGAGCAAAAGAAACGATACAAAAACTTAGCATATCCAAACTTTCAATACAACTGCATAATATAAAACTACGGTTTAATGTTTCAACCAAAGGCATCAAACATGACCTTTCGTAAAAAAAGGTCATGCGCAGAATGATCTCCAATTGGTATACGGATAAAAAAGCTTTGTCATACGACATCGGAATTTACCCCCCAAATGACCACAACAATCATTCCAAGAGTGAGTGAGTGAGTTTGGTTTAACGCTCCAGTTATATCACGGCCTGTCAGCTTGATGAGGGAGGAAAGCCCGAAGTGATGCAGGTCTCAGACGTTTACCACTTCGGTGAAACCCACGAGCTGACAATGGTGCTGTCAAACCTAGACACATAATCGGGGCGAACCGGGATTCGAACCCACGAGCATAGGTTTCTGTTCTGTATTAAATCACAAGATTATTAACCTTCTCACCTTATAAGGGCAGGTATCTTCATCCTGACAACGTTGTTTCATGTGAGGATTATTCCTGAAGAAGTAGGGCACGTGCTTCGGGGGGAGTCTCAGGTCCCCCCAGTCAGTGGCGCCCCCTACCGTCATAAACATCGCTGACGTCACAATCAGGGGGAGTAACCGAAACCACGTGCATATGGTCCGCATTCTGTGAATTGAATATTTGTTTGTAATTCATGAAAAGAAAAAATCCTTCCCGAATCATCCCGTATATCGATGCTCATGGTGTCAATCACTGGATTTACTCATTTATTTACAGAGCGCTTTTATATAGCCGGACTATTGCAGAGTGCTGATAATTATACCATTCACAGAATACCACACAATCAAACCTCGTTTGTCACACGAGTTTCATTTCACCAATGTGAGTGAGTGAGTGAGCGAGTATGGTTTTATGCCGCTTTTAGCAATAGTCCAACGATGTCACGGCGGGGGACACCAGAAATGGGCTTTTCACATTGTCCCCATGTCGGGAATCGAACCCGGGTCTTCGGCGTGACGAGCAAACGCTTGAACCACTAGGCTACCCCACCCCCCTTCAACGCAGTGAGTAACTGAGACTATACACACTTTCCTAGCATCCTGCAAGAGAAACTACAATGAGACGTCTCGTTCTGGCGTTACCATACAGTTTAAAGGATATGAATGATTGAGTATGGTTTTACGCCGCTTTTAGCAATATTCCAACGATATCACGACGAGGGACACCAGAAATGGGCTTCACGCATTGTCCCCATGTCGGGAATCGAACCCGGGTCTTCGGCGTGACGAGCGAAGACTTGGCTAACCGACCGCGCCTTGAAGGATATGATGGTTAAGTAAAATCTAAAAGGATATGTCAATGAATTTTCATTGTACTTGTTTAGTCAAATCAAGCCTCTCAGCCAAAAGACCGTATCAGAATTGGCAAATTACCTGCAGTGTGTTCAACAGATGTGTCGTTTTTGGAAAGACTGACCATTAGTATGTCTTGGTCATTTCCAAATTTGACGCATCAGTGATAAATTGATGTGAGATGTATTTTGACTTGGACTATATGTTCATGTCAAAACAATTGCCGTGCCTTTGCATGCGTTAGAGACGGGTGCAACCTGAATAGCAGGATACGCTCACCTTTTCGAAAACACCTGGTGTCATCACTATTTGATATAGTTGGACTCGTTGGGTGGTGGCTTGCAACGCATAAACGCAAATCGTAAACATTCATAATTACTAATTATTTAACACGAGCCCTTAATAATTTGCGCTTGACTGTTTTTTCACGGTGTCATTGTCCTATGAACAACATCAATATAATCAATACCATCCTGGATGACACAGGACACGCCTATTGTTGTCGTGAACGAACCGAGACGAGAAACAGACACAAATAGGCCGTGCCACCGTCCTGTTTCCGTACTCTCGGTCAGTGACCTTTCACTGCCTATCCAGATCAATGACCGAGTTCACGGTCAACATGGAGTCTGTCGCCGAAGTAGTAGTAGTAGTTGTAGTAGTAGAGGTAGTAGTAGTAGTAGTAGTAGCAGCAGCAGCAGCAGCAGCAGTAGTAGTTGGTTGGTTTGTTGTTCAACGCCGCACTCTGCAATATTCCAGCTATGTGACGGCGGTCTGTAAATACTCGAGTCTGGACCAGACAATCCAGTGATTAATATCATGAGCATCGATCCACGCAATTGGGATTGATGACATGCATCAACCAAGTCAGCGAGCCTGACCACCCGATCCCGTTAGTCGCCTTTTACGACAAGCATAGTCACCTTTTACGGCAAGCATGGGTTGCTGAAGACCTATTCTACCCCGGAATCTTCACGGGTCTAGTAGTAGTAGTAGTAGTAGTAGTAGTAGTAGTAGTAGTAAATAATAACAGTAGTAATACATTTATTTGTCTGATGATCGATCCTCTTGTGAACTAGGTTAACACTCATGATGAAAACAAGGCATTCCACTGTTGGACCAAGCGAAGTGTCATATGAAATCGGCCCAGGTTCAATGTCTCAAAGAGGGGCTATCTGAACGACCGCTGCATCGATTAGCATCCCTACAGAGTCCTTCGCTTGAGTGAAGTCGGCTGGCCTGAAAAGTGAAACAGAAGGCTTTCTGTTTGCTGCTCAGGACCAGTCACTTCCCACTGGAAACCTTCAATGTGTGATTTTGCATCAAAATGTAAATACGAAATGAAGATCATGCAATGAATTTAATGAGACTATCCAACACATTGTCATTGGATGCCTAGCTTTGGCTCAAACACAGTATCTTAAGCGAGATGATGGCGTCGCTCGATAATTTTATTCCCGTCCTCGCCATGCTTGTGGTTTTGACACAGAGGTCCATCCATGGTACCAAGAGGAAAATGATTAGAACAAAAGTCTTTGGAATCCAGGCCAACAAACCTGATCTTGTCCTTTTTGATAAATCCAAAATTATCATTTACATCATTGAACTTTCTGTACCTTCTGACACTAATGTGATTGACAAGGTTCAGGGAAAACATGGCAAATATGCGGACCTCGCTTTCGAAATGTCACCCTTGCATCCCAAGTACCAACTTTTCTGACTGCCCATTGTTCTCGGTGCCTTAGGTTTGGTACCTCCCAATCCGTTGACTGACATGGGAAGAGTACCCGTGTTTGCTGTCAGGGAAAGCCCGAAGTGATGCAGGTCTAACAAGAGCACTGTTGGCTTGGTTGATGTATGTAACCGTGTCCCATTTGCGTAGATCGATGCTCACAATGGACAAGACTCGATTATTTACATAAGCTGGAATACTGCTGAGAGCGGCGTTAAACAAACAAAACGTGTGTATATTTGTAGTGTTTTATGTCGTCGGCACCATACATCAATGAGAAGTACAGTGTTCTTCTCGTCATATACATATGCCAGGACTTCTTGGACGGACATCGAACCCTGGAACCATTACCCTTGGACTTCTAGAACCCGGAGCCAGCAGTGTACAAAATAAGACTAGGCTATAAAATCCGGACAGGGTTATCAAACACTGGTTTCACTGTCGGTATGCGCCTGTGCCTATATATGTAGACAGGTGTCCAGTTTTACGTCATATTATTTAACGCCAGAAATGTGACTTCGAAGATGTTGTGCAGTCTCAACTTATAAACAGCAACCATTTGAATCTGGTGAACTTACCTGTCTCCGGCTTCATCCACTAGCTGCTGGTACAGAGACACGCATCCCGCCTACATATCTTCTGGGGGTAAGTATTGATCCTACGTTTTTATATGTGTTCGTACTTGTGTGTGTGTTTCCACTTTCCTCATCGATCCAAAATTACCGTTAACGTGTGCGCCTTTAGTTTGTGCGTTAGATAAGCTATGTAGACATCTATGTACAAGGGGCGTTCAGTACGTTTTGCAACTTCAATATAAGACCAAGTCGCAGAATATTTTTTGCACTTTTATTTTTCAATATAATCTCCATTCACCTCAATACATTTATTCCATTTGCCCTTCAAGCTTTTAATACCACTTTTATAGAAATCCGCAGATTGGCCCTCTAACCACGCCTCTGTGGCAGCCTTTATGTCCTCGTCATCCTGGAAGCGTCTTCCACGTAGGGCAGATTTCATTTGCCGGAACAGGAAATAGTCACTGGGGGCTAAGTCTGGGAGGTAAGTTGGGGGATTTAACTGTTCGAATCCACATTCACGTATGGTGGTCTGTGCAATTCTCGACTTGTGAACCGGAGCGTTGTCATGCAAAAGTAGAATACCACGTGTTAACATCCCACGGCGTTTCTGGCGAATAGATTTTCGCAATTCTTTCAATACATTAGCGTAATACTGTCCATTGATTGGAGTTTTTGGTGGCATGTAATCAATCAATAATATGCCTCTTGCAAATATGGTGGCCATTACCTTGCCAGCCGATGGTTGAGTGCGAAACTTTCTCGGAGGCGTAGAATTGGGGTGCTTCCATTGCATGGATTCTAATTTAGTTTCTGGGTCCCAGTGGTGGATCCATGTTTCATCACCTGTCACTAGAGGATAAAAAAATCCGGCTTCATCAGCAGTATAGAGATCCAGGAGGTCTTGACAACTTTCAGTTCTCTGATGGCGATCTTGAGCTCCGAGGTTTCTAGGTACCCGTCTTGCAGATACCTTGGACGTACCAAGATGCTCATGAATAATGGCTCCAACAGTTCCAACTGATATTTGGAAATCCCTAGAAAGTTCAGATACTCGTCGGTCAGACAAAATTCTTTTTTCTATAGCCTGCCTGACCTTGGGTCATCGTTTACGGACTCTCTACCCCTTTTCAACTGTAGAGACCAACGGCAAACTGTGGAATAGTCAGGAGCATCCTTACCCATCACTTTACACATGCGATCATGGATTTCCTTTTGCTTTGCATCCCTCCTTGGTAAGGAACTTTATTACAGCGCGCTGTTCTTGTTTGAGAGAATTCATGATTGTGGCCACCCTTACAAAAAGTAGGTGAACTAATTGTTGTGTCTGGAGCTAGTTATGACACGTGTCAACCTGATGTTATGACTAGTATCACACCTGCCACAAGTTGACACTGTTTGTTTAAACACAAAGTTGCAAAATCGCCCCTCGTATATCTCGTTGTTTTGGGTTTTCTGATCTTGGTATGTCTGCCTGCTGACATATCTACTTACGGGTATGTGTGCCTACTTTTATGCCTACTTACATGCATGTCTGCCTGTTGCTGTCTCTGCCTACTATCATGTCTACTTACGGGTGTCTTTTTTGTTGCTATGTATGCCTACTGACAGTTCTACTTACGGGTATGTCTGCCTGTTGCTTTGTGTGCCTACTGGCATGTCTACTTACGGGTATGTCTGCCTGTTGCTATGTGTGCCTACTGGAATGTCTACTAACGGGTAGGTCTTCCTTCTGCTATGTGTGCCTACTGGCATGTCTTCTTACGGGTATGTCTGCCTGCTTCTGCCTACTGGCATGTCTTCCCATTATTATGTCTGCCTACTGCCATGTCTTCCCACTGGTATCTGTGCCTACTGGTATGTCTACTTATGGGAATGTCTGCCTATTGTTAGTACTGCCTACTGGCATGACAACATACGGTTATGTCTGTTTATTGGTTTGTCTGCCTCCTGGCATGACTACTTACACGTATATCTGCCAATTGTTATGTCGGGATGTGTGAAAGGCCTTGGATTATATAAACGAATGATTACCCGCCCAGAGTCGGGTGCATATTTATTATACCAATAGTTTCTTAGGTGTATCGACCAGTATCGACCAATATACTAACAGTTTCATTTGTACGCCTTGAACAGTATGGATATAACACATACAGACAGCAGACCCGTGAAGATCTTCAGGAACCCATGCTTGTCGTAAAAGGCGACTAACGGGATCGGGCGGTCAGGCTCGCTGACTTGGTTGATGCATGTCATCGATCCCAATTGCGCGGATCGATGCTCATGATGTCAATCACTGGATTGTCTGGTCCAGACTCGATTATTTTACAGACCGCCGTCATATAGCTGGAATATTGCTGAGTGCGGCGTTAAACAACAAAAACAACAACATACAGACAGCTGCGGACAGTAGTGAAAGGCAAGACTTAGTATACTACAGATGATGCATCTTGGAGAGGGGACAAACAGTGGCGTTTCAACAGCCTTGATTATCTAGTGCATTGTATTTTCATTGTGTTATGGTAAGTACCATGGACCTACTCCAGACCATCGTTTCGTTTTGAACCAGAATCCAATGACACGACACCCATGAAGATACCGGTTGGAATCGGTCATCAGGAGCCCATGATGTCGTAAGAGGCTACTAACGGGATCGGTTGGTCAACCTCGCTGACTTGGTTGGTGCATGCATGTTGATGCATGCTTGTCCCGGAATGACACGAGTGGCCACGTACGTAGAGTTTGTGTATTGGCCGTTACATTGAGAAAAGGTGTGGGTGTAACTAACTTCTAATCCCACTCCCGGCGACTGAAAATTCTGTAACCTTTTCTATTTCTGTTGTTAACCCATAGCAAAGCTGACACCATGTGAAGATCCGGTTTAGAATTGCTCTTGAATAACCCACGCTTCTCAGGCGACTAACGGGGTCGGGTGGCCAGGCTCGCTCACTTGGTCGATGTGCAATTGCATTGAATATTTTGGCAATTGAGACTCTAATGCCGGTGTTGGACTATTCTAGGACCTTGGTTTTGCTTCTTTCGCTGTCATTCTGTTGGCCCTTTTGTATTTACCAGGGTCACAGGTGGCCCAGTTATCTGAGGCGCCAAAATTCTCTGTGTCGAGTTGTGTCCCTTAGGTGTGCCATAAACTTATGATCGTGGTTCGACTCCCTGGCAATGTTTCTACTTTTGTCATCACCATAGTCGTGCTCGCAGGGTTATCTCCCAAAACCCCTACATCCCATTTCCCCTACAACCCAGTTCCCCTACAATTAGTTAAAACAACACACGGCATTTACCTGTCTGGCATTATGAACTCACCTAAAGGAGAGATTAAGGTCTGGAGTAGAGGTAGTAGAAATGAACAGGGTAGAGCTTTAGGGGATTAGGGGACTTAAAGGAAAGTTTTAAAAAAAAGAATTAATGTAAGTGTAATGAAAGATGACTGTATGATGAGAAGATAATTTTTAGAAATTACAAAAATAACAATAGGAAGAAACAATTATTACACTGAGAAACTGAGATTTTACAGCTCGACTTTGGAGCAGCTCAAAGAGGCAGGAAGACAGTGTATAGAGAGGTGGAGAACCGTCTCTGCCGCCTGAAGGACGAGTTGAATAGAGAGGTGAAGTCCCCAATGCAGTTTTTAGATGCGGTTGGCCATCTCCTCAGGCTGGGATAAAGAGTGCACTGAACATTTGAGATGAAATTTCGTATCGTAATCGTAATTAAATATTTATCTCAATCTATTCGTGTTTCTTGGGTTGTTCCATTGTATGAAATAGGTAACAGACTAGGGATTAGCAGTGCCATGGACCGTGAACTTTGTTGTCTTAAGCTGTAGGGGAAATGGGATGTAGGGGTTTTGGGAGGTTACCGCTCGCAGTAATACCTGCGACATTTCTGGCTTTTATCCCACACTTAGCTGACGATTTTCAAGGCGGACCAAAGGACAACTCACTCACTCAATGTACCACTGGTCCACTCCCTTAATGTACCACTGGTCTACTCCCTCAATGTACCGCTGGTCTACTCCCTCAATGTACCGCTGGTCTACTCACTCAATGTACCGCTGGTCTACTCCCTCAATGTACCGCTGGTCTACTCACTCAATGTACCACTTGTCCACTCACTCAATGTACCACTGGTCCACTCACTCAATGTACAACTGGTCCACTCACTCAATATACAACTCGTCCACTCACTCAATGTACCACTGGTCCACTCACTCAATGTACCACTGGTCCACTCACTCAATGTACCAATGGTCCACTCCCTCAATGTACCACTGGTCCACTCCCTCAATGTACCGCTGGTCTACTCCCTCAATGTACCGCTGGTCCACTCACTCAATGTACCGCTGGTCGGCTCACTCAATGTACCACTGGTCCACTCACTCAATGTACCACTGGTCTACTCCCTCAATGTACCACTGGTCCACTCACTCAATGTACCGCTGGTCGGCTCACTCAATGTACCGCTGGTCTACTCCCTCAATATACCACTGGTCTACTCCCTTAATGTACCACTGGTCCACTCCCTCAATGTACCACTTGTCCACTCACTCAATGTACCACTGGTCCAGTCCCTCAATGTACCGCTGGTCTACTCCCTCCATGTACCGCTGGTCCACTCCCTCAATGTACCACTGGTCCACTCACTCAATGTACCACTGGTCCACTCACTCAATGTACCACTTGTCCACTCACTCAATGTACCACTGGTCCACTCACTCAATGTACCACTGGTCCACTCCCTCAATGTACCGCTGTTCTACTCCCTCAATGTACCGCTGGTCCACTCCCTCAATGTACCACTGGTCCACTCCCTCCATGTACCGCTGGTCTACTCCCTCAATGTACCACTGGTCCACTCCCTCAATGTACCACTGGTCTACTCCCTCAATGTACCACTTGTCTACTCCCTCAATGTACCACTTGTCTACTCCCTCAATATACCGCTGGTCTACTCCCTCAATGTGGATTTCTGCCAGTGTGATCTTGTGACGTCAGCAAACAATCGTTCCAAGAACAGTCTCACGTTAGGTCTGAATTGAACACGATTATCGACGATTGAATTGGTTGTATATTTTCTTACAAAAGCTAAAATATTGCGGTAATGTAATACAATCATAGTTCGTTCTTATGAATATGTTTAGAGTTCAGTTCCCCGTCTTTAACGAATGCATGATGGGAAGTCACGTGATCCGCAGCCTTTCGAACAAGTCTAAGAGTTTCATATGGGTCAAACTCATAGTCGACAAACTTCGCCTTGGCACCTCCTTTGTAGGCGTCGTCCTGTTACAGAAGAAAAGAAACATCGGTGATCGCATCCTGATAAAGATAAATATGGCAACATGTAGTTATTACAGGATAATGTTTACTTATGAGTTGAATAAGTTCGCTTCATATAAATAAATTGCAGTGTTAAACAATAATACCTGAGCGCCAATATACCACTTTCCAAACAAAACTGTTAATTTTGACAATAATATTATTATTCAATTTAACCAGAAACCGATTTCAAAGGCGCCGAAATTTTCTGTGCAGAGTTGCGTCCCTTTGTTGTGCCAGGAACCTAAGATCGCGTGTTCGAATTATGTTATAGCACCATACAACAATGCCGCTGTATTTCATTAACACTGCAAACACGAAAACGTCGTTTTTGTCCGTTTCATGGGCATAGATAGGGCTCTTCAATGAATCAACTCACCACATTAATCGTCTTGAGCTTGTCCGCGTGTTCCCATGTCATGTATTTAATCCCCCGGAGTCGGGCAAGATTGGGGTAGCAGCTTGGATCCTCGCAATTGTAACTGAAAACGCATGAAGTATATTCTGTTTGTGAATATTTTGAAGGTAGTCATCGATCACCCATTCCCAGACAAGGCCTAAATTTTGGACAATTTTAAGCGGCATGGGTGTTTTCTACTCAGAGGTCCTTGTTCTGCGAGATACGTTCTTCAAGATGTTTGTAATTGTAGATATCACCCCTGTATTACGTGTTACTTTAGGTCATCATTAGGTGAGATGGGGTTAAACGTCGCGTTCAGAATGATTGTGCTCTTATAGCGACGCCCATAACGGTGTGTGTGTTGCTGCTTGTGACTAGTCCGGACTAATGTTGGACTAGTGCTAGCCCACTGAGATACCATGCCGCAGTTTAACAAGGACACCCAGCACAGACACAGTATACTGACTCTGAGCCGACCAGTCCTTGTTTTAGCCCCTTAGTGCCGACCGCCAGGCAGGGTACCAAAAAGTACCATCTTTCAACGTCTTTTGGTATGACGCGGCCGGGAATCAAACCACCGACCTTCAGGTCTCCGGGCAGACGCTTTATCCACTGAACCACCATGGCGGTTCTTTCATTTAGTATATTTTAATACGAATTACATCTACAGATAATATCAGCATAACTTATTTGTTTCAATATCTCTAAATATTCTATGCGTTGAACGTTACGGATCTTTGTTATGCAGTTATAAAACCCTGGCTGTAAAATGTACTTTGTCTTTATTGGACCTGTAGGATTTCGCTGAACGTGCTTCTGTTCCGCTATGAATGGAGATCCGGGTTAGAATAGGTCTTCAGCAACCCGTGCTTGCCGTAAAAGGCGACAATGCTTGTAAGAGGCTACTAACGGGATCGGATGGTCAGGCTCGCTGACTTGGTTGATGCATGTCAGCGTATCCCAATCGCGTAGATCGATGCTCACTGGACTGTCTGGTCCAGACTCGATTATTTACAGACCGCCGTCATATAGCTGGAATATTGCTGAGTGCGGCATTAAACAACAAACCAGGCAAACAAACAAACAAACAAATATGAATAGAAGGGAAATATTCATCATCGCAAGCTCCTTGCCGTAACTGCCATTCGGCTTGTCCCGGAGTTGGGACTGCCCTTTAATTTGACGTCCGAAATGATTACTCAGGACTGGGTCCGAAAAATATTGTTTGAAAAACTTAAATTTAGATATTCGATCATGTGCATGGAAAGAGGCGAGTGGTGTGAGGAATTGCATCTGTTTTAACCCTTTTGTTAAACTGGACCACTTACATTTCAAACACCACTGCCCAGTCAGGTAGAAACAGCAGGTGCGTCAGCCCGGCGCCGTGGATGCCAATCAAGATGTCGGTGTTGTAAGAAATCTGTAAATATATATTTGCCTCATGTTCAGCAAATGTACTGATTTTACACCGCTTTCAGCAACATCACTGCAGCATCACGGCTGTGAACACAGAAAATTGGGCGTCCACACTTTGTTTTGTTTGTTGTTTAACGCCGCACTCAGCAATATTCCAGCTATAAGACGGCGGTCTGCAAATAATGGAGTCTGGACCAGACAATCCAGTGAATGACATTTTGAGCATCGATCCACGCAATTGGGATGAGATGACATGCATAAAGTCAACGATCCTGGCCAACCGATCCCGTTCGTCGCCTCTTACGTCAAGCATAGTCGCCTTTTACGGCAAGCATGGGTTGCTGAAGACCTATTCTATCCCGGATCTTCACGGGCCACACTTTGCACCCATATGGGGAATCAAACAATGGAATTCGGTGTGACGACCTGACGTTTTAAACATTTACCAGAATGTTTCCCTGCTTAGTGATAATGAACATTAATCTTCAGAATGTACAAACAGAGGTTTCTGTCACGCCTAAGGGACGCAACTCTGTGCAGCGAATTGTGGCACCTTAGATGACTCATAAGGACGTTTCAGCTCTATGTGGTGGAAAGACCAAAGTGATTAGGGGCGGTCGGGTAGCCTAGTGGTTAAAGCGTTCGCTCGTCACGACGAAGACCCGGGTTCGATTCCCGACGTGGGGACAATGTGTGAAGCCCATTTCTGGTGTCCCCCGCCGTGATATGGCTGGAATATTGCTAAAAGCGGCGTAAAACTATACTCACTCACACTCCAAAGTGATGATGCAGAGTGTAGACCTTTATAACTTGAGTGAGGCCACGCGCACGGGTATGGTGCAAACAGACCAAGGATCATAATCGGTGCAAATGCAGGATACGAAGCCACACTACAGGCAAAGTTGTGTGGTCTCGGGGCGTCGGGTACTGTTGTAGAAGTGTTGTTATTCATAGCGGGGAGAAAGTTCATTGAAAACTCAAATACAAATAAGCTCTAAATATCAGAGGTTAAGTTAAAATTCCTAAAGTTTCATTACCTTTAATTGATCTGGAAACGGTATATTTCTGAAATTACAATATAGAAGATATGTTACAATTATAAGATTGTCGTGTGCGTGTCTTGTACATCAAAGCCTGCGTCTGTTTCTGGGGCCTAAATTTAGACATATCGCCAATGTAAACTTGACATAACGTATGTGACGAAGTTCAAGTATTGTTTGGAAAATACCCTACCGGGTCAAAGAAAGTTACACCCATGTTTGATGGTAGCTGAACATGAAGCCAACAAGAAAGAGTTATTCGATGTATAGTTGACACGGGTTTCATAGTTGTGTTTTGGACCATACGTTTGCAGTGTTTTTGCGACTGTTTTTAGCCTAGTCACGTTTTGATAACGTTTTGTATTTTTGGGTCACATCCAATTTCCAGGAGTATACTCTCTTTTGCTCGGCAGTGTATATGCGCGTGTCACAACACATTGATTCTTAGTTTGGAACGTAGTTCATGAGATGCATGTACACTGATGCATTACACCATTTGCGCACAATAAATTCATAAATTTGATCGTTGGTGGTCTCGAAACATTCATGGTTGTATGTAGCTCATGTTGATTTTAGAAATAAATAAATATAGAATATTTTCGGACAACAATGTATTCACCTGAGAAATCAAATTGTGTCGCCTAAAGTAAAATCTCACCTGTTGTAGTCTACTACTTTCACATCAAGGTCGGCGTTATTCTTAAGGGCGGATTCCAACTTGAACGAATTTTAAAAAATAAATTGTTAACAGTTCATATGGATGAAACAACATGGGAATTAATTTGCAGAGGCATTACTGATTACTCATTGGCGCCAGTCCCGTGAAGATCCGGGGTAGAATAGGTCTTCAACAACCCATGCTTGCCGTAAAAGACGACAATGCTTGTCGTCAGAGGCGACTAACGGGATCGGGTGGTCAGGCTCGGTGACTGGGTTGATGCATGTCATCGTATCCGAATTGCGTAGATCGATGCTCATGATATCAGTCACTGGATTGTCTGGTCAAAAATCGATTACCGTATTCGACGTAATAAGCGCCCAGGACGCTCTCACAATTAGAAATAGTGGGCTCTTTTTAGAATATTATTTTGGTGAAAAACAAACAGAGTTGAAAGATAAATATCGTTATTTATGCTCAAATATGTATGTACGACAGATATATTTTTCCATAATTTAATTGCCCATAATTAAGGGTGCATATAACACATGAGTGCGTATTATACGCGAATAAATACGTCTTGTGTACATTGATCAATAGGAAGGGGTGCTAATTGGGATTGTTCAGTAGCCAATATCTTAGCAAATGTAAAGTGGGTGAATACTGTTTACAACCGTTGTCAACTCTATTTGAGCTATAAATCACGGCGACCTGTAAATAGTCGAATCTGGATCAGGCAAACCAGTGCACATGACATGCACTTTGTCCATTTAGTCAGCCCTTACGACAAGCGTGTGGTTCAGAAGAGGGCATAGGGAACCACACTGCATCAACGGAATCCTCACCATCGTCACATCCATAAATCATTATCATCGCATCATTATTATTATCATAATCATCATCATATGATCATCGACGTAAGAAGATGGTCCCTCTGCATATCATCATCATCATCATCAACAACAACAACGTAGTCATCATTATCAACAACGTCATCAGTATTATCACCATCATCACCACCACCACCACATCATCATCATCATCATCATCATCATATAGTCACTGTCGAAACATCATTGTCAGCACCATTGTCATATTCATCGCATCATTCTGAATATCATGATCGCTGCATCATCATCATCATCATCATCATCATCATCAAATCACCATAGCATCAGCAGCAGCAGCAGCAGCAACCTACCTTGGCTATATTTCGTATCTTCCTGTACCTGGTGTTTCTGGACATGAAGGTCACACGTAATTTCCTCGCCTGTTGACGAAGCAGAGATTGTGTGTTACGGCTGTGGTAAGGTTACAAATCGATTCTGAACAGTCGTTAGATATTATATATTTAGATTTTACGTTTTAAGAAATGTGTTTTTGTGTCATTATGTAGAAGGTGCAGTGCAATATTTTGTAAGAATTTATTTCCGCGCTACACGGTACACATTCATAGGAGTACGAGTAGGAAGTGATTGAGTGACTTGGATTTGACGCCGCTTTGAATAGTGTTCTAGTTATCTCACGGCGTGTCAGGTTAATGTGGGAGGAAAGCCCGAAGTGATGCAGGTCTTAGACGTTTACCACTTTGGTGAAACCCACGAGCACGGGTATGGTGCTGACAAACACAGACACAGACTGAGGGTGATCCGAAATTCGAACCCAAGCTCATATGTTCATGGCGTGCCCAAGGGACATAACCCTCCACAGCGAATTGCAGCGCCTTCATGGCTGGGCTACCTGCGCCCCCACGAGTAAGAGTATATATAATAGGCGTCGGTGTACATGCATAAAAATAAAGCCGAGCCATAAACAGCTTGTGACACACGATAAAACCGTAATAATAAAGTAAACTATAATGTAATGTACATATTTGTACCGTACATAATAGTTGATTTCAGATGATTACGTGATGAGAGGCGATCTGCTGCCTGAAAGATGGTGTGTTCCTGTTTCACGAAGAGAAATGGTGACCAAACGATCCAGCCTGAGTCGTACCAGGATCGCGGGTTCGAATCCAAAATTCGCCCCGATTATGAACCTTGGTCGGCAACATATGCATGCTAGTGGTTTCGTTTATTATTTTCACGACGCTGAATACAAAGTAATCGATCATTTCAGGTCAGTAATTAACCAATCGTTGACTGATCATTAGAACATACCTTTTTTGTTTTTGTTTGTTTTGGGTGTTTTTTTTACGCCGCACTGTTAGCTATATCGGCGGCGGTCTGTTAATAATCGAGTCTCGATCAGAAAATCCAGTGATTGACATTATAAGCATAGGTCTACGGAAATGGGATACGATTACATGCATCAACCAATTTAGCGAGCCTGACCACCTGATCCCGTTAGTCGCCTCTTACAAGCATAGTCGCCTTACGACAAGCATTGGATGCTGAAGACCTATTCTACCCCGGAACTTTACTGGGCGGTATATATCTTGTGTCATGAAACCAAACTTTTTATTAAAAGGAAGAATGAGGATCATCTTTAAGGGTTCAAACCGTTTTATGACTATTGGATTTGAAATTGGTGTATGACACTAGTGTATTTGAAATTAGAACGAAATATATAGACATGCATATTTAGGCAAAACGCTCCTTTCAGATAAACTATTATATTTTGTTTGATTTGGATGATATGTTAAGGATTCAAACAGATTTATGACGTGTGGATATAACTTGGAGAAATGTTTGTGTACACAGAAATTATCTGGAAGTAAATTGACATAAGGTTCATTCCTGAATCATTTCTGGCTGCAAATAACGTAAATATCAGAGTGTGTAATATGGTGGTGCGTTGTCAGAGCCACCTTGAACCTTCAAGGTCAGGCTAAAAAAACACTGTATGGCACATGTTGTTCGCGTTGCCTGCTTTCACAACTGTCACATGCTTGAATTCGTGTAGTAACGAGCCGTACCGTCAGAATGTGTGTGTGTGCAAAATTATAACGGGAAATGTTTCTGATGTTGATCGCGATGGAGACTGCTGGTGTATGGGGTGATGTACTGTACTACAGTGTCGGCGTGTTCTCGTGTCGCCGTGTCTCCATACGTTCCTATTACAATGTGTGAAGCCCATTTCTGGTGTTCCCTGCCATGATATTACTGGAATATTGCTTAAAGCGGCGTAAAACCATACTCGCTCACTCACTTATGTTGAAAGGACTATTCATTTTAGTAAATGGTCTTAATGAGTTTTATACAAAATGGGCAATGAATCATGGCTTATTTGAATCAGAACCACAGACTAGATGACATTTTATTAAAGAAGTTGTTACAACAGTTACATTATAATGTTATCATGGTTATGATATGAATTAGCGTGATCTAATATGTATGAACGGTGAGTGAATGCTGTCTTTGTGATGTCTTGTAAAAAAACTACCCCCCCAAAAAACCTGTATCTTGATTTAAAGTGCTACATGTTTTTTATTTTACACATGGGGGAGGCTAACCTGGACCTGGGGCGGTCGGGTAGCCTAGTGGTGAAAGCGTTCGCTCGTCACGCCGAAGACCCGGGTTTGATTCCCGACATGGGTACAATGTGTGAAGCCCATTTCTGGTGTCCCCCGCCGTGATATTGCTGGAATATTGCTTAAAGCGGCGTAAAACCATACTCACTCACACTCACTACAGCTGGGGCCTACTACAGTTGGAGCCTGCTACAGTTGGGGCCGACTACAGCTGGATCCGCCTCCGTAGTGTTGTGGGCAGAGCGTCTGCCCGGAGAGCGGAAGGTTGGGGTTCGATCTCCGGTCGCGTCATACCAAAAGACGTTAAAAGGTGGTGCTTGTTGTTACCCTGCCTGGCGTTTGGCATTAAGGGGATAAAACAAGGACTGTGTCTGAGTAGGGTATTCATGTTATACTGCCGCTTGGTATCTCAGTGGGCTAGTGCAATAAAACCGGCATTAATCTGGTCAAGTATAAGCAACCGCATAGACGTGGTGTTGCTGATTCGGCGTAAAGCAACATTCAGTCACTCAAATATATCGTGAGGGGCATAAGGTCTACATAAATCACCCACCCATGAAAATCCGGGGTAGAACAGGTCTTCAGTAACCCATGCTTGCCGTAAAAGGCGACTATGCTTGCCGTAAGAGGCGACTAATGGGATCGGGTGGTCAGGCTCGCTTGGTTGATGCATGTCATTGTATCCCAGTTGCGTGGATCGATACTCATGATATCAATCACTGGATTGTCTGGTCCAGACTCGATTATTTACAGACCGCCGTCATATAGCTGGAATATTGATGAGTGGGGCGTTAAACAACAAACAAACAAAATACATCACCTTTCAGACAAACAAGTTGTTGACAACATGAACACGTTTTCGTTTTATTATAACCACGTCCCAATCTTAGTCATTCTTGAGATAAGAGGGGCGGTCGGGTAGCCTAGTGGTTAAAGCGTTCGCTCGTCACGCCGAAGACCCGGGTTCGATTCCCGACATGGGTACAATGTGTGAAGCCCATTGCTGGTGTCCCCCGCGTGATATTGCTGGAATATTGCTAAAAGCGGCGTAAAACCATACTCACTCACTCACTCACTCACTCTTGAGGTAAGGAGGTGGTTGGACGAACCAAGAAACGTAACGCCCACCGCTTCGCATCAACCCATAATAGGCTGTAATCTCATAATCTCCAGTGGGAAGAGTCTGATTTGCTATGGTTTTGCGGATGTGTATGCGCATGTGCGTGTATAGGTGAACGCGCACGTGCGTATATGTGCGTATGGGAAATAGCGTGACGTACCAGAGGGCCGTGTTGGTGAATCCCCAGTCTATGGAGAATGTGCTGCGAGAACGCCCTCATCAGGCCACTGTTGTAGCAGTTCTCCACCTGGCAAACAATGGAACCACAGAGTATATTTGTTTATTGTTTTGTCGCATAAACCTAATTTGAAGTATACAATCATTTGCCGTAAAAATCCCCAATAGAATCATATTCACAATCACATAAATATTTATACTGATTTTTTTTTATCATATAATGGCAAGGTTTCTCGGAAGAATTGAAACCAACAGATATCCGTTGGGGTCATGTGCGGATGCAAATATGAAAGGTCAAGTGGGTACTACTTTCAGAATTACAAACAAACATGGAGTCGCCCTTGCCAATCGAGTTAACCATCATGAATCTGGAGAAACTAATGGGATGAGTGCTATCATTATCAAAAGAATAGTCTGAGATACTGAAGATAAGTGTCTAACTGGGACGTAGCAGGCATTTCAGAAGTTTTGGCAACTTTGGAGATATATACAGTAAACTACGGTTATAACGAACACGCTTATAACGAACTGACCGATATAACGAACTTATTTTTTAGTCCCGGCCATTTGATATATATATGCTGTATATATGCTTATAACGAACTACGGTTATAACGAACTAAAATTAGTGGTCTCTTTGAGTTCGTTATAACCGTAGTTTACTGTATTGCGAAACATTTTAGCCTGCGGATTAATTTCCATAGGCTCGCAAAATGTAATATTTATTCCTAATACATGATATTTACCATCCCAAAACTTACTCGCGTGATAATCTTTATTGATGCATATGATGTATGGCCGCACTCAGCAATATTCCATCTATATGACGGCGGCCCGTATATTATCATTCGATCACATAAAGTCGCATCTTAAGTAGCAAGTCAATCGAGTTTTGCGATTGGGAGGGTGGTTTACAGTTCTGCTGGCTTTCCAGCCAACAAAATCAACTTTCAACGGATTTACATTTCAAATCAATAAATAACTAATCATACATTTCTTATTCCACCTGATGTTTCCAAACGGGTTGTTAAAAAGCAGTATACTATCTGCACTGGGCGAATTGAGACTGGTAGATATATTAAAGAGCCGAAAACAGACAGATTGTGTTTAATCTGCAAACGTCAATATATCGAGGATGAATATTTTTTATTCTAATATGCAATGTATAACAAATAATCTGAGATATAAGTACACACCCCAGAAATTCTATGTAAATCCATCCCAACATAAGTTTAACATGTTAATGTCTTCAGTAAATGTACCTACACTGAAACACTTAGCCACTAAAGTCTTATGTCTACAAAGCTCTGAGCCTTAGATCTTCGTGTATATGAACAACTTTCTTGTTACATTGTTCTTGTCCTCTCTCTCTCTCATTTCTAGACCGCCTCCGTGGTCTTCTGGTAGAGCGTCCGCCCGGAGAACGGAAGGTCCGGGGTTCGATCCCCGGCAGCGTCGTACCAAAAGACGTTAAAATATGGTACTTGTTGTTACCCTGTCTGGCGCTCGGCATTAAAGGGCTAAAACAAGGACTGGTCGACTCGGAGTCAGTATACTGTGTCTGAGTGGGGTATTCATGTTAAACGGCGGCATAATATCTCAGTGTGCTAGCACTATAAATCGGCATCAGTCCGGACTAGTACAAGCAGCCACACACACACACACACACACACACGTGCATGCACGTCGCTATATAAGTGCAATAGTCTTGGACGCGACGTTAAACCCAATTCCACCTCACCTCACCATCTCTCATTTCTGTATACACTTTGATGTAGCATGGGCCTATGGCCTAAACTATTTACTGAATAAAGACTATAAAGAATTCAATTTGTAGGTTCAGAGGCGCTGATAATCCCATAATCCCTGGATGTACTCACTGGACGAATTGCGTAAAAGAGACCATGCGACATCCGGGCCAGGAAGGAGAAGATGGCTTCTTTGAAACAAACCTGAAGAAAGTGATGTAATTGTTTTAAATACGAAGAGAATGATTTTGGATTTTCCACCGCTTTTGGCAATATTCCACCAATATCACGGCGGGAGACACCAGAAATAGGCATCACGCATTGTGCCCATGTGGAGAATCGAACTTAGGTATTCGGCGTGATGAGAGAACACTTTATCCACTCGGCTATCCCACCGCTCCTTTAACTTCGAAGTGCGGTTATGCTAAAGACCCAAATAGTTCGAACCACATGATGCAATAGTTAGTTGCCCAAAAAGTATCTAAATCAATGCGTTACTTTTGTCATTGTATTTCAAAACAAGTCATTCTTTCTCCTTAAAAAAAGGACCACCCTACTCTTTTATATACTACTCACAAGAAGTTAAGGACCAGCCGATTCTTTCGTATTACTATAGCTAACCAAACCATGCCAGATTAACTACATTAATATGTAAGAATCAATCCTTAACTTCTTTTGAGTAGTATATAACATGAGGCCACACCGTCTTCTACGACCTGTGAAGATTCCGTGGTACAATAGGTCTTCAGCAACCCATGCTTGCCGTAAAAGGTGACTGCTTGTCGTAAAAGGCGACTAACGGCATCGGGTGGTCAGGCTCGCTGACTTGGTTGATGCATGTCATCGATCCCAATTGCGTGGATCGATGCTCATGATATCAATCACTGGATTGTCTGGTCCAGACTCGATTATTTACAGACCGCCGTCATATAGCTGGAATATTGCTGATTGCGGCGTAAAACAACAAACCAACCAACCATCCAACCGATAATCGGGTACATGTACTGACTCTTTTCCCTTCCAAGTCCACCAGCATGAGGCGCGGGTGGTCAGTGAAGGCGTTCCATGTCTCCCCAAAGAGTTCCATATACGCGCGAGCCTGCAACGAGAAGGCGGATTACATGCTGCGGTTAAAACCTACAACTACATAATATAAGTATAGGATATAAACCGCCTCCGCGGGCTATCCGTGAAAATAATGCAGTCCGGCAAAGGAAAAGCCCGCGGGCCGTAGGCCCAAGGGCTTTTCCTGCGCTGTAGTGCATTATTTTCACGGATAGCCCGCGGAGGCGGTTTATATCTGACTTATAAACAGACAGATATGAAGATGCTTTTTTGTTTACATGACATAACTTTAATTCTGAAATTTCAGTTGTAGCATTCCAAAGTTCCTCAGTCAAAAGCGCACAGCTCGAGAATCCCGTGGGCAGAGGGATTTTCGGAGAAAAGAACAACCTGTCGTAACAATGGTAAAGCATCACTGGAGTTTATAAGGCGTATGACTGGGCGACATTGAAGGTTGAAGGCACTCATTATCAATGGCACTGTTGTCCAATTGCCAATGGAGCTGTGCAGAGTTGCGTCCCTCGGATGTGCTAGGATCCGATGAACATTCGTTGGTTTGTTGACACTGTATCCGTGATCGTGATAAACGTATAAGTGAGTGAGTATAGTTTTACGCCACTTTTGACAATATATCAGCAATATCACGGCTCCACATATTGTACCCATATGGGAAATTGAACCCGAGTCTTCGGCGTGACGAGCGAACCCTTTAACCACTAGGCTACCGCACCGCCCGTAAACGTACGTATACGACCAGCGGCATTCAAACTGATTCACGATACAGACCAGTGGTCCAGGGTAGTCACTAAAGGGGATGAAATAGATCGGGAGTTATATTTTAGTAAAGAATAAAAATAGACAAGATGGGATTACAGATGTATCACAAAATAATTCGATTTTTTATTATGTCATAAAATAAATAATTCCTGATTTAACGAATTCGATTTTTAGCAATGAATTTATTATTTATTATTATGTTGAAAAATGCCTTTGAAATATGTGAAAATGCATTTTATATCTTAAGGGGTATTTTAAGGGATAAAAAAATCGAATTGGTGATATCATTGTTTTTTTACAATAACTGCTCCCCTGACAGTGCTCAGTAGAGAATAGAACGAGATGTTATGACGTTGAGATATTGTATAGCAGTGTCAAGGTCAACTCACTGTATCCCAGATGAAGACGTTCACGTCCGTGGTGAAGGAGTTGTTGAGATGCTGGCTGATGTAGAGGTTGACGAAGTCACAGAAGTGGTGAAACATGTTCCCACCTGAAGCATGATCACGTTGTTACCGTAGTCGAATCAACAGTATATACTGTGCCACTTAAACACTGAGGCTGAATGAGTCTCATCGGGTACTATATCGTACATACATCACTACTAAGGCGACTATGCTTGTCGTAAGAGGCGACTAACGGGATCGGGTGGTCAGGCTCGCTGGCTTAGTTGATCCATGTCATCGTCTCCCAATTGCGTGGATCGATGCTCATGATGTAAATCATTGGATTGTCTGGTCCAGACTCGATTATTTACAGACCGCCGTCGTATAGTAGGAGTGAGTGAGTTGGGTTAAACGCCGCTTTTAAAATTATTCCAGTTATATCACGGCGTGTCAGCTCAATGTGGGAGGAAAGCCCGAAGTGATTCAGGTCTCAGACGTTTACCACTTCGGTGAAACCCACGAGCACGGGTATGGTGCTGACAAACCTAGAAACATAATCGGGGCGAACCGGGATTCGAACCCACAATCATAGGTTTCTTGCGTGCCCAAGGGACGCAACTCTGCACAGCGAATGTGCCACCCGTGCCCCCTCGTATAGTAGGAATAATGCTGAGTGCGGCGTGAACAAACAAACAAACAAACAAACAAAAAGCTTATAATAAATGACCAGTCTCTTAGCGTTATCTTGAAACTAGTCCATTCCTTCGAAGAAAGAAGGTGTATGACATACATTTGTACACTCACCTGCATCTAGTTTTATAATGAACGTTGGTTTGTCGATGATGACGTCACATTTGCCGGATTCGAGTGGGCGTGAAGTCAGTGAGGTGAAAGGCTCCATTTCAAAATACCTAAATTGAGAAGATAAGGAACTTGAACGGAATCTGGTGATTGTGGGTAATTGAGATTAAAAGTCGCTTTGAATTCAGTCCTATCACAGCGTGTCAGTTGTAGGTGAGGTGAGGTGAAATGGGGTTTAACGTCGCGTCCAAGATTATTGCACTTATATAGCGACGTGCATGTGCGTGTGTGTGTTTGTGTGGCTGCTTGTACTAGTCCGGACTGATGCCGATTTATAGTGCTAGCTCACTGAGATACCATGCCGCAGTTTAACATGAATACCCCACTCAGACACAGTATATTGACTCCGAGCCGACCAGTCCTTGTTTTAGCCCTTTAATGCCGAGCGCCAGACAGGGTAACAACAAGGACCATCTTCTAACGTCTTTTGGTATGACGCGGCCGGGGATCGAACCCCGGACCTTCCGTTCTCCGGGCGGACGCTCTACCACTAGACCACGGAGGCGGTCTGTGTCAGTTGTATGTGGGAAGAAAGCCCGAATGGATTCACTCTAAGACGTTTACCACTTTGGTGAAACCCTCGAGCTCAGCTGTGGTGCTGACAAACCTAGAAACATTACATAATTCTAACCCGTGATCATAGGTTCCTGGCACGCCAAAGGAACGCAACTCTGCTCAGAGAATTGCATCGCTGTAAAACTTCATACCCAGATAATGCCCAAACAATGACTACGGAATACGTCCACTTAATTAATAAAACACAGTCTCCTTGAATAGAAATATGCAAATCTAAAACAGAATTGGAAAACTTTTTAAAGCAGAATATGTGAGTGAGTACGGTTTTTACGCCGCTTTAATCTGTTCCAGCAATATCACGATAGGGGACACCAGACAACTTCACACTTTAAAATAGAAATGCTTTATGATCTAAACGATTTCAAAGACTATATCTCTGTCTTGGATAGGCCTCGCCCTGACACCCTTTGGAATACAACCAGGATTTACTTACCACTATCCTAGCATTTCTACATGCTCTTTTATTATTTATAAAGAGGTTGTGCATGGGTGAGTGAGGTAGTTGGATATAGAGCCACATTCAACAATATTTCAGTTGATGATAATTTTCGCGAACACCTGGTATCATCACTGTTTGATATTGATTCATAAACACATGCTTATGATATAGTCAGAATCGTACATTGGACTCTGCTATTATCAGCGATTTCTTATGACTATGGAAAAGGTTGCATCGGTTTAACCTAAAGTATGTGCTCATTCAATCAATGACTGGTTTGTCTGTCCAAGATTTGATTCAAAATGTCGTAGAGCTGGAATAGTACTGTCTGCGGCGTAAAACAACATGCACCCATACACATTGTGTGTCTCCTCTTGAATATAGATATTGTGTGTCACACGATGGCGACTGCGTTACGCCATGACCCGTCATCTTCCCGAGGCAAGGGAGGTAACTGACTATAAAAGTCCAGTTTACACCCTTGCCGAACTGAGCTGGAATTTCGAGACTTGATCGGAGTGCCGCCAGTGGCTATTACAAGTTATGTGAATTCTATGTCCTTCCTTTTTACCAATCAGATTCCACATCTCATAATCACTCATAATAAACAAAATGGCGGCGACCAGTTAAGACGATCTGATCGTTAATAAAGATCTATATTGTTATAAAACAGGTCTTACCTCGCGAAGTGCATCAGATGATGTGGACACCCGGTTAAGGGTACACATGCATTGCAAATACCGCAGTCGACCGAAATCTACACGGCAGTCGCCATGTTGTTTACGATCCGGATGTGGAATCCGTTACACGATTTTGATTGGACTTTGCAAGGACTCGTTAGTCCAGCCAGAATGTAACTTATCAATTCCAGCCTAGTTCGGCAAGGATGGAAAACTGGACGTTTTTAGTCGGTGAACTTTAGTCGGAAGATGCGGCCAGTGCACTAAAATGACAAGTTTGAAAGACTCACCAAGACGACAGGAATCCAGTGTTGTCCCTTTGGGCGAGGAGACTCGCCCTGTCCAGCCGGCAGTGGCCACCAATCTGACCACTCTTCAGTACATCCTTGCGGTAGCTGATCATGAAGAAGGCGTTTCAGACTCGCGGCATAAATATGCTGTCTTGTGATTTAGTATCAATGAATATATGTGTTCATAATTATTACCAGATTTGACACATAAATGTTCTTATGTGATAATGCCAAATTGTTTATGTGAAAATCCAACGAACTCAATCTTAAAATAGTTGACCTCGGCGTCAAAACGTGAAGAATACTGCGCTGTGAGGTATGATATACTTTTCTTGTAATCTTGAACTCTCTTTGTAATGTTAGGTTATATAGTTAAGAAGGAGCGTTCCTTCACATCAAGATGTCTAAATCTGTTTGTGCCTTAATCCTAAATCGCCTCTGTGTGTTTCTTTGTACACTCATCCTAAGGTAAATCCATATTTCAGTGCCTTCGGATTAACATAGGATTGTTGGAGTCGAGGCATCGGGGAATATAGGCGTTTTTGAATGTAGGCATCAGCAATATAGGCACCATGGAACATGGGAATCGTGGAGTAAAGGCAACGTGGAATATAGGAATCATGGAGTGTAGGCATCTGGGAATATAGGAATCATGGAGTGTAGGCATCTGGGAATATAGGAATCATGGAGTGTAGGCAACGTGGAATATAGAAATCATGGAGTGTAGGCAACGTGGAATATAGAAATCATGGAGTGTAGGCAACGTGGAATATAGGAATCATGGAGTGTAGGCAACGTGGAATATAGAAATCATGGAGTGTAGGCAACGTGGAATATAGGAATCATGGAGTGTAGGCATGAGGGAATATAGGAATCATGGAGTGGAGGCTTAAGGGAATATAGGAATCATCGAGTGTAGGCATGAGGGAATATAGGAATCATGGAGTGGAGGCTTAAGGGAATATAGGAATCATGGAGTGTAGGCATAAGGAAATATAGGAATCATGGAGTGTAGGCATGAGGGAATATAGGAATCATGGAGTGGAGGCTTAAGGGCATATAGGAATCATGGAGTGTAGGCATGAGGGAATATAGGAATCATGGAGTGTAGGCATGAGGGAATATAGAATCATGGAGTGTAGGCATAAGGGAATATAGGAATCATGGAGTGTAGGCATGAGGGAATATAGGAATCATGGAGTGTAGGCATAAGGGAATATAGGGATCATGGAGTGTAGGCAACGTGGAATATAGGAATCATGGAGTGTAAGCATAAGGGAATATAGGAATCATGGAGTGTAGGCAACGTGGAATATAGGAATCATGGAGTGTAGGCATGAGGGAATATAGGAATCATGGAGTGTAGGCATAAGGGAATATAGGAATCATGGAGTGTAGGCATAAGGGAATATAGGAATCATGGAGTAAAGGCAACGCTGAATATAGGAATCATGGAGTGTAGGCATCTGGGAATATAGGAATCATAGAGTGTAGGCATAAGGGAATATAGGAATCATGGAGAGTAGGCATAAGGGAATATAGGAATCATGGAGTGTAGACATAAGGGAATACTGGAATCATGGAGTGTAGGCATGAGGGAATATAGGAATCATGGAGTGTAGGCATCGGGGGATATAGGGATCATGGAGTGGAGGCTTAAGGGAATATATGAATCGTGGAGTGTAGGCATAATGAAATATTGGAATTATGGAGAGTAGGCATGAGGGAATATAAGAATCATGGAGTGTAGGCATAAGGGAATATAGGGATCATGGAGTGGAGGCAACGTGGAATATAGGAATCATGCAGTGTAGGCATAAGGGAGCATAGGAATCAGGGAGTGTAGACATAAAGGAATATAGGAATCATGGAGCGTAGACATGAAGGAATATAGGAATCGTGGAATGTAGACATAAAGGAATATAGGAATCATGGAGTGTAGGCATAAGGGGATGTAGGAATCATGGAGTGTAGGCATCTTGGAATATAATAATCATGGAGTCTATGCATCAGGGAGCATAGGAATCAGGGAGTGTAGACATAAAGGAATATAGGAATCATGGAGTGTAGACATAAAGGAATATAGGAATCATGGAGTGTAGACAGATGGGAATATAGGAATCATGGAGCGTAGGCATAAGGGAATATAGGAATCATGGAGTGTAGACATAAAGGAATATAGGAATCATGGAGTGTAGACAGATGGGAATATAGGAATCATGGAGTGTAGACATAAAGGAATATAGGAATCATGGAGTGTAGACAGATGGGAATATAGGAATCATGGAGTGTAGACATAAGGGAATATAGGAATCAGGGAGTGTAGACATAAAGGAATATATGAATCAGGGAGTTTGGACATAAAGGAATATAGGAATCATGGAGTGTAGACCTAAGAGAACATAGGAATCATGGAGTGTAGACAAAAGGGAATATAGGAATCACGGAGAGTAGGCATCTTGGCTAATGTCACCTTGGTATTAAGAGCGAATAAATCTTGATTCCCAGATACGCCCATTCCCACGTTCACACACCCTCATTTGTGCTGACTCAAGTTAAAAACCTTTTCCAAAACATCACTGTCGTGACTTTTATCAACGTTCCCCCTCTGCGTGTATACGCTTGCACATGTCGTTGAGTCGTGTAGGTTCTACTACACCAAATCAGAACCAGTTGGGACAGTGCGGTTTTCAGTGCAGATCAAGAGATATCTGCAGGCTGTGATTGGAGGATATTCTGTACGATTTTTATGTCTTTCAAATGTACATCCATCCAGTTATTAAAACTGACCATGTTTTTCTATATTTAGTACTGTCTTTTTCAACATGATGACTTATGCTGAATGTGACCATAGCTATTTTCAAGTAGGTGACATTTGGTGCGAAACTGGGGGTGGTGTGTACTCGGAAAAGGAGCTGGCTGAGCTAGTCATTTTTTATGATTTTATTGCTGCTCTAAGGCCAAACTGTTCACACACGTACAGGTAATAGCTGTTGAATGCTTAGTTATTTTAAAAAAAAATATAACGTTACTATAGAAGTCTATGGGAAAACATTTGGTTGTGTGTAACCTGTAGCAGTCCTCACTGGTGTTCCCAGTTACATCACAACAAAGCTGATGCCAACTGCTTGCCTTAAACCCGCACGACGACCATCAGAAAGCCAGGCCTCATCACCCACAATACATGCAGTACAGCAAAATACAAGGATGTGCACAGGACCAGTGTGTAGCTAGACCAGGAAATAGACATGTATGTCAACATTACACAACGTTGCGTATGGGAACTTCAAATAATTCTATAGCGTATTGAAACGTGCGCAAATAGACTTGCTGGGTTGTGTGTTCAATTAGGGAAAGTACCGATGCACATCGAGTGTATACCTGTGTGAAGTGAGTGGCGTGTAGTGTTGGTTCACACAATACTTAATGTGTATGACATGTACCTCTTTCCCTGTTGCTTCACGTGGGCTGTACGGAGGTCGATGTAGAGGTTTGTGGCGTGGCAGTACCGCAAGCCGTCCACGCACTCCAGTGACGAGTCACCCTGCAGGGAGGAATATTCATATGGATGAATAATGCTAAAAGAGGAGTAAAACCAATCACAGTCACTCAATGCGGCCTGAAAAGCCTGACGAGACATCGTGTGTTGGTGGTTATTGTCACCATAGCGTATGCCGCATTCGTACAAGGAGGGGAAGGGTAGACTAACATCTAGTCTCTGAAATGAATATCTTACAGAAAAAACATTGCTAATGATACTGTAGTAATCTAGACGTCGCGGTAAAGACTATTGCACTTATATAGCGACGTGCATCAATGTTTGGGGTGGCGGGGGGGGGGGGGGGGGGGGGGGGGGGTGCGTGCTTGCGTGCGTGTGTCTGTCTTTCTGTCTGTCTGTACTGTAGTCTATAGTATTGCAGATTTCATAGTACCAGCCTACCGAGACACCATGCCGCAGTTTAACATGGATACTTCACTCATACACAGCATACAGACTCCGAGCCGTTTTGGTTTCATCCCATCCCCTTAATGTCGGTCGCCAGGCAAGGAAACAACAAGTACCTTCTGATGCGGCTCCCGCTCCCGTTCACATTAAAATTGTCCAGATTAACACAGTACTGCTTTAAGAAGAAAGTATACACCCATGTTTGATGGTGGCTATAAAATATAAAAAAACCGTTATTCGATGGTGATGTATTTGACACGTGTATCATATATTAGTTGTGTCTTGGACCAAAACTGTTTCGGCGACTGTTTTCAGCGTTTTGATAACGTTTGTAATTTAAGGGTCAAATCCAATTTTCAAGTGTACACCACACTAAGGTGTAAGATCATGCAAAGTTAACCAGCAGAAATCGCCGGAATATGCATCTACCACCTCAATGGCAGACTAAGGTCTTTGTGACACTGAAATTGATCACCGTCAATCCATGTAAATTTCAAGCCCATGTACTAGACATATTGTGGTTGCATCTCCTGTGTAGTTCAGTCTTCCCCAGGCAAGGGGACTGTAAACGTCCAGTTTCCACCCTTGCTGAACTAGGCTGGAATTTGGGAGTTGCTAACGGTCCTATACATAGTCCAATCATAATCGAGTTACGAACTTGACATCCGGTTCGTAACAACATGGATTCCAACGTGCAGATTTCGGAAGACTGCAGGATTTGCAAAATATGTATACAGCCAACTGGTCGTCGAGAGATGTTTTGCAAATCTTTTCATGTTTTTAATTAAGGTGACCAATTGATTTGATGCACTTCGCGGGGTACGACCCGTTATAATACAATATAGATCTTGATTATTGATCTGATCGTCTTAACTGGTCGCCGCCATTTTATATGAAACAAATGCAAGTGATATGATGGAATCTGATTGGTCAATAGGAGGAACATAGAAGGGACATAACTCGTAATAGCCACTGGTGGTGCTACGATTGAGCCTGGAAATTCCAGCTTGGTTCGGCAAGGGTGGAAACTGGACTTTTGTAGTCAGTTAAGATGGTGTTGTGTACACAGGTAAAAGGTCTGGTAAAGCAACATTCCCCGCGGTGACAGTGATGGGTTTCGGGGGCATCGGTCTTGCCCCACACTGAAGCAAAAAAAGTTGAAAGAATGATGTTGGATGATAAATAAAATCTCACCCTCGTGTCTTTTGATATCAAATAAACTGACGTCCAAAAGAAACTTTACCAACTGAAAATATAAATTTCAGACAAAGTATATATTTTTTCTCGATGAAGTCTATCTAAAACACATAACCTAAATACAACAATAGTGTATGCAGAAAATGTTAATCGTCTGTTACATGTTTGCGAGATAACACGCGAAAAAGTGAAAAACACGTGCACCACGGACAACTGCAAATGCACGTGCGGGTAAGGGTATAAAACGATTGCAACGGCAAGTCAGACATCCACATTGATAAAAAAAACACAAAAGAAATGCCACGACTCACAGTCGAACAACGTGAACGAGCCTTGGGTATGGTACAGATGGGAGCCACCCACGCCCATAGTGCACGAACCTTCGGTTGCTCCTGTGTTGCCGTTACCAACTTGATGCAACGTTACAGACATCATCATCATCAATCATCATCAATCATCATCATTCAAAACAAATGTCACCACCATCCGGGAGTAGATCCATACTGGACTCGTGGAATGATTGATATCGATCTGTCGCATCATGTGCGTGTAGCATGTCACATAGATATGAGGCATGTGCTGTTTCAAGGACGGTTGAGATGTCTGATATGGAGTAATTGTCTCCACAGGTGTTATGTACTTTAGGAGGACAGACGTTCAGCGAGTTTGTTGTATCAGTTCTAGAGGCATCAATCATCAACTGGCTTTGATCAGGTAGACGTGGCAGACCTGTGAGGACACTTCCCAATATCAAGCCTCAGTGACCAAAATAATGTCCGATGCAATTTACTATTTTGAATCTACTAATTTTTCACGTGTTTGTTCAGGTGAACATTTGAGTTGCCTTTGCATGTGTTTGTGACGACCAAGGGTACGCTCACTTTTACGAGAACACCTTGTATCATCACAGCTTGGTAGCGATTTATAAACACATGCTTGTGATATAGTCGGAACCCTTGTGTGGGGGTGTTATACAGTGGTTGTAGCTGTGGCTGTGGCTGTGGATGTGGCTGTGGATGTCGTCATCTACACACAAAGAGTCAAAAGATGTGACCACTCGATCCTCATTAAGCGGCTCTAACAAAACCATGAGATGCAGCTTCACAATATTTTAATAATAAATCATGTAGCGGGTGAGTGAGTTTGACATTACGCCGCTTTTAGCAACATTCCAGTAATATCACGGCAGGGGACACCAGACATGGGCTTCACACATTGTACCCATGACGGGAATCGAACCAAGACCTTCGGCGTGACGAGCAGACGCTTCAACCACTTGGCCACCCCGCATGCATAATTCATGCATGGTGCTTCAATTGATATCATAAGGACAGTTAATACCAATATCTATCAATAGACAGTCTGTCTACTCAGTAGAAATCAAGAAAAACAATAAGAGTGAGTGAGTAAGTCTCAGACGTTAACCACTTCGGTGAAACCCACAAGCACGGGTATGGTGCTGACAAACCTAGAAACATAATCGGGGCGAACCGGGATTCGAACCCACAATCATAGGTTTCTGGCGTGCCCAAGGGATGCAACTCTGCACAGCGAATCGCGGCGCCTTTTTAGTGCCCCAAAAAACAATAAGAAATCACCTGTGCTTGTGGCGTGCAATAGATCCTCAGGTTGGTTTTCCTCTCCTTAACGTAGCCAAAATCAGCCTGCCTCCAGAATGTCTCTGTGTTTTTCTCCTCTGCTGAATGCTCTCCCCGTCTGTTAGACAACAAACAATTTCACATTTTATTTTACATTTCAAAAAAGTATATGCCGCAATTTTATTAGTTCGAAGACGGTGTCAAATGGGATTAGAAACCCAGAACTCTGGACGTTTTACTTCGCATACGTGCAGTATGAAACTTACAGGTATCAAATGCTCAATAACATCCGCAAAGCAGGAACATGTAATGTCCTGTGTATTATGTATTATATGTATTCGTATTATATACATTAAGTTCGAACCTTCAATTATCTGTTCAAAGTTGTTAAGTTGTTTGCAGTTCCATTTTCCTGCACATGTATGGGGGAAAATCATCTTGATAGTTTCTAATTGGCACTGTACTGCACTAATCGCCACGCAACGCCACGCCACTGCGCCGCACTGCACCGCACCGCACCGCACCGCACCGCATCGCATCGCATCGCATCGCATCGCATCGCATCGCACCGCACCGCACCGCATCGCACCGCATCGCATCGCATCGCATCGCATCGCATCGCATCGCATCGCATCGCATCGCATCGCACCGCACCGCATCGCACCGCACCGCACCACATTACTTTTGTTGTAACATTGGTGATATGAATACCATTGCGTCACCTCGTGTGTGCGATTACCATGTTTGGTTCTACAAAGCCTGTTCTCTTTCGGCAAACGAAATCCTGGCGTTTTGCACTTTCATTATAGTGCTAGTACTTGTGCTTACCTTGGTTTCTGTGACCCATCCTCGGTGCACCGGGGCGTACTCATCCTCTCCCCGACTGGGCACCTGTCTTCATACCCCCAGCATCTCCTAACCTCCAGGGAAGACTGTCAACACAGATGGAGTAATAAATATATGTAAACTTCACATCTTGAATTGTTTACGGGGTGGGGGTGGGGGTGGGGGTGGGGTGGGGGGTGGGGGTGTCAGCAAACGCTTTAACCACTGCCCTAACGCTACCCCACTGCCTAACGGGTGATGGGACAACGTAAAGATATGCATAGCTGTGAAGTGTTGACAGCGCACGTTCAACGACCAACACGATATGTTGTGTATGAAAATCGAAAATCTCGAGTGTACACAATTCGTTAGGACCCGGTTTTTTCAATGCTTCGCTGTGGCACGGGTGGCCCAGTCGACTAAGGCGCCGCGATTCGCTGTGAAGAGTTGCGTCCCTTGTTCACACCAGAAACCTATGATTGTGATCGAATCCCGGTTCGCCCCGATTATGTTTCTTGGTATGTCAGCACCATACCCGTGCTCGTGGGTTTCACCGAAGTGGTAAACGTCTGAGACCTGCATCACTTCGGGCGTTAAACCCAACTCACTCACTCACCCACTCACTCACTCAATGCTTCGCGAACTATCTGCTTTTATCCAGATGCAACCCTCTTTGACCAGAAAGTCGCATCCACCTTTGTTGTTTACGACGATTCTGTTTGCAATATTGCATTCATTCTACGGCAGAGACCACAACAATTGGGAACAAACCGGGTCTTCGGTGTCACAACCTAACGATTTAATCACAAGGTTATTTCTCTCTCACCTTATAAGGGCAGGTATCTTCATCCTGACAACGTTGTTTCATGTGAGGATTATTCCTGAAGAAGTAGGGCACGTGTTCCGGGGGGAGCCTCAGGTCCCCCCAGTCAGTGGCGCCCCCTACCGTCATAAACATCGCTGACGTCACAATAAGGGGGAGTTGCCACATGCATTTGCTCCGCATTCTGTGAACTGAATATTTGAAGAGATACATTTACACCTGAAATCATCCCGTAGATCGATGCTCATGATGTCACTCACTGGATTGACTCGATTATTTACAGAGAGCTGTCATGTAGCTGGAACATAGCGACGTTAATCAACAAACAAACAGAATCAAATCATCCACAGTTGACCACACAACCAAAACCCGGTTCAACGAATGTCACACGAGTTTGTTTGCTTAACGTTGCACTCACCAATGTACGTGCTCTACGCCGACACAGATATTATGAAAATAAACCCTTTCGGATTCTGAGGAATAATTGGTCGCCCAGTATGTCCAGTATGTCCAGTATGTCTCAGTATGTCCCAGTATGTTCCAGTGTGTCCCAATTTGTCCCAGTGTGTCCCAATATGTCCCAGTGTGTCCCAGTGTGTCCAAGTGTGTCCCGTTGTGTCCCAGTGTGTCCCAGTGTGTCCCAGTGTGTCCAGTACGTACCAGCATGTTCCAGTGTGTCCCAATATGTCCCAGTGTGTCCCAATTTGTCCCAGTGTGTCCCAATATGTCCCAGTGTGTCCCGGTATGTCCCAGTATGTCCCAGTGTGTGTCAGTGTGTCCAAATATGTCCCAGTGTGTCCAGTATGTCCCAGCATGTCCCAACAGGTCCCAGTGTGTCCCAATATGCCTCAGTGTGTCCAGTACGTCCAGCATGTCCCAGTGTGTCCCAATATGTCCCAGTGTGTCCCAGTATGTCCCAGTGTGTCCCAGTGTGTCCCAATATGCCCCAGTGTGTCCAGTACGTACCAGCATGTCCCAGTGTTCCAATATGTCCCAGTGTGGCCCAGTATGTCCCAGTGTGTGCCAGTGTGTCCCAATATGTCCCAGTGTGTCCAGTATGTCCCAGCATGTCCCAAGGTGTCCCAATATGCCTCAGTGTGTCCAGTACGTCCAGTACGTACCAGCATGTCCCAGTGTGTCCCAGTATGTTCCAGTATGTCCAGTATGTCCAGTATGTCAAAGTATTTCCCAGTATGTCCCAGTATGTCCAGTATGTCCCAGTATGTCCAGTATGTCCAGTATGTCCAGTATGTCCCAGTATGTCGAGTATGTCCCAGTATTTCCCAGTATGTCACATTATGTCTAGTATGTCCCATTATGTCCAGTATGTCCAGTATGTCCCAGTATGTCTCAGTATGTCCAGTATGTCAACTATGTCCCAGTATGTCCAGTATGTCCAGTATGTCCCAGTATGTCCAGTATGTCCACTATGTCCCAGTATGTCCAGTATGTCCAGTATGTCCCAGTATGTCCAGTATGTCTCAGTATGTCCAGTATGTCCAGTATGTCCCAGTATGTCCATTATGTCCCAGTATGTCCAGTATGTCCCAGTATGTCCAGTATGTCTCAGTATGTCCAGTATGTCCCAGTTTGTCCAGTATGTCCCAGTATGTCCAGTATGTCCAGTATGTCCCAGTATGTCCAGCATGTCCAGTATGTCCCAGTATGTCCAGTATGTCCCAGTATGTCCAGTATGTCCCAGTATGTCCAGTATGTCCCAGTATGTCTAGTATGTCCCAGGAGGTCCAGTATGTCCAGTATGTCCCAGTATGTCCAGTATGTCTCAGTATGTCCAGTATGTCTCAGTATGTCGAGTATGTCCCAGGAGGTCCAGTATGTCCAGTATGTCCCAGTATGTCCAGTATGTCTCAGTATGTCCAGTACGTCCCAGTATGTCTAGTATGTCCCAGGAGGTCCAGTATGTCCAGTATGTCCCAGTATGTCCAGTATGTCTCAGTATGTCCAGTATGTCTCAGTATGTCCAGTATGTCCAGTATGTCTCAGTATGTCCAGTATGTCTCAGTATGTCTCAGTATTTCCAGTATGTCTCAGTATGTCCAGTATGTCTCAGTATGTCCCAGTATGTCCAGTATGTCTCAGTATGTCCAGTACGTCCCAGTATGTCTAGTATGTCCCAGGAGGTCCAGTATGTCCAGTATGTCCCAGTATGTCCAGTATGTCTCAGTATGTCCAGTATGTCCCAGTATGTCTAGTATGTCCCAGGAGGTCCAGTATGTCCAGTATGTCCCAGTATGTCCAGTATGTCTCAGTATGTCCAGTATGTCCCAGTATGTCTAGTATGTCCCAGGAGGTCCAGTATGTCCAGTATGTCCCAGTATGTCCAGTATGTCTCAGTATGTCCAGTATGTCCAGTATGTCCCAGTATGTCCAGCATGTCCAGTATGTCCCAGTATGTCCAGTATGTCCCAGTATGTCCAGTATGTCCCAGTATGTCCAGTATGTCCCAGTATTTCCAGTATGTCCCAGTACGTCCCAGTATGTCTAGTATGTCCCAGGAGGTCCAGTATGTCCAGTATGTCCCAGTATGTCCAGTATGTCCCAGTATGCCTGCCATATGGGCTAATGAAAATGGTGATGCGTTGGTCGAGATCTGTTACATACGCTGTCTGAGCATGATTCATCACACTCTAATGACATTTATCGTTTCGCGTGCTTCCGGTTCCTGGTTTGTCGGGTCCAGACTCAAGTATTACCAGGATGCTGTGATATCACTGCGGCGTTACATAGCATTCACTCAATCGTTCATCCGACGCTATTTTTCAGATATTTATTTTAAAATTTGACTGTCGCACCGGATTACAAATGCAAGTATTATCAATCAAAAACACCTAGCATTACATATATCTATAGCCATAGCAAATGTTCACACAAAAAAGCACATAAAAAAATCAACACTTTTACCTTGAAACGTCGTCCGAGAACCTATACTCCGTTTTGGGTTATGGATACTGTATTAAATATAATCTTGGGCTCCCATAGTACACCAATCTTGTTCTCCTGTCACAGAATCATCTCGCGGTATAAAATTGTCGTAGAATATTCACACTTTACATATCCTAACATCCTTTAAAGACGATGCTAAAATCCAGCGAGTATTATGAACCTACGGAAGCCTTTTAGAGCCATTTGTTTTTTAATTTCCTTCTTGAAATTTTAACACAGCATCTTGAAATGTTGAAAAGACGAAATATCAAGATGCTATGTTGCAATTTCAAGTTATAATTTTAAAATTCCAATTTATTTTCTTGAAATTTCACGATCATTATTTTGAAATGTCAACATAGTATCTTGAACTTTGAACATAGAGACTTTACATTTCAAATACAAATGGCCCTAAAAGGCTTCCGTACGAACCTAATAACTGTGCACTGTTTTCGTAACACGCCCATGCCTTTAGTATGTGCAAATATTGTCGGCAAGCAGGTTGTATGGATCAAGTAATGCTGGCCAGCTGGATCGTATATTTCATACAGTCTGGAAAGGCTGGTATTTAATAGTGGTTGACATAAGGTGAATTGTAACATTGTGTTATTTTTGTGCACCGGTGTCTGAATATCCTGCGAGAGGAGAGTGGGTCAGTTGCCATGGGTTACCACCGCTTCAGCATATAGTGGGGCGGTGGGATAGCCTACTGGTTAAAGTGTTTGCTTCTATTCCCGGGTTCTGTTCCCCACATGGTTACAATAGGTGAAGCATTACATTGTGCCCCTCGCCGTGATATTGTTGAAAATATTAATGTTGCTAAAAGCGGCGTTAAACCATACTCACTTACTCATTAACCCAAACCGATATACCCACCCACCCTCGCTCGCTCGCACGCACGCACGCACTCTCTCACTCACGCACGCACGCACGCACGCACGCACGCACTCTCTCACTCACGCACGGACGCACGCACTCACTCACGCACTCACGCACTCACTCACCCACTCACTCACTCACTCACTCACTCACTCACTCACTCACTATCAAATAACATCTAAACAATGCTTTGTCCATTTCGTCGATAAATAGATTAGCAAGTCTATAGGTGACGAAGAGAGAGAGCTCAAATTCACATTCTAATCAATACAAGAATTGTATGCATTCGTTTGAAAGTTGGCTTGACGTCCGGCTAGCTATTGTTCTCTGACTGACCTAGAACTGAAGACGTGTTAAACCATCAAATGTATCTAATATTGACAGTTTCATTGCTTGGACTTCCAATACATATTCTAAACATATTTCCATCGATCAATAAACCACTCTTGGCCTCGAACGTTTACATGAAAGGAACTAACTTATTGTTGAGATAAAGATTAATAACTCAACAGTTCTTTAGTTTAGGGAATTAATCGATTAATCGGAATGCGTATTTCCACTATTACCGTCATCAAATCGTTGGGGGCTTAGGGATAAGTCTAATAGTAAAAGCTTGTTTGTTTATTTGTTGTTTAACGCCGCACTCAGCAATATTCTAGCTATATGACGGCGGTCTGTAAATAATCGAGCCTGGACCAGACAATCCAATGATTGATATCATGAGCATCGATCCACGCAATTGGGATACGATGACATGCATCAACCAAGAAAGCGAGACTGGCCTCCCGATCCCGTTACACGCCTTTTACGACATGCATGGTCACCTTTTACGGCAAGCATGGGTTGCTGAAGACCTATTCTACCCCGGATCTTAACGGGTGTAGTAAAAGCGATCGTTCGTCAAGGTCCGGGTTCTATTCCCTACATTCCCCGTTTCCGGTTTCTCCGAATATTGCTAAAAGCGATGGTAGACCCAACTCACTCTCTCAAATGGTTGGCCTATTATAAGAAAATAAATATTTATATTAACTGACAAACGATTACTGCAAACACTGAACAGAAACAAGAAAGGGTGATATTAACATATTTATGAAAGATTATTCTACGTTTGTGCGTAAGGAAGGCCACTATTTATTTAATCAATAAACGGAATAAGAATATTAGAGCCTATCGATCTTTATTCATTCTGCATGTATACGTGAAATCAGGCAGATAGGCGAAACAACGTGTTACTTTAAAGTTTCGTGAGTTGGGATTTACGCGTTTGGAACAGTATTCCAGTTATATCACGACGTGTCAGCTTAATGGGGGAGGAAAGCCCGAAATGATGCAGGTCTCAGACGTTTACCAATTCGGTGAAACCCACGAGCACGGGTATGGTGCTGACAAACCTAGAAACATAATCGGGGCGAACCTGGATTCGAACCCACAATCATAGGGTTCTGGTGTGCCCGAGGGACGCAACTCTGCACAGCGAATCGCGGCGCCTTAAACGACTGGGCCACGGCTGATCCCCTACACAGTACTTGAACTGCACATACGTCATGTCACGTTTCAATAAAACATTTCATTTAATTCACGATTCAGATAAGAATGTTGAAGCACATTCTACAGCATGCATAGAAGTATATACGATATTCTTACCTTTTGTAGGCTTTAAGACCAACTGAGCGAGGTGTGTATTCCCTCAATGTGTCTAAAAGATGGCTATTGTTTCGTTGCTTCCAATAAAAGATCACATATTGTGATCTTGGGTCAAATAAATGATCATAAAATGTGATCTTTACTACAAATGTATATTTGGGCTTTCCTGTGGGTACCTCTGTGTCAGCTTGTCAAGAATCCCCGAGCGTTAAACAAAATACCAGAATGGATTGTTTAATATACAATCCTCGGTAGGGGCTTGTCAATCTTACAATGTGGCCCCTGCTGTGTTTAGCATAACAACGCTGCTTATAAGACATAGATCAATATACACGTTGTGAGGTTTATTTTCTGCTCGATATGGGCTTGCATTAAATATTTTTTTGCCCTGAACGTGGATTTCATGATTTGACCAAAGGGAAAATATGTATGCAGGTACATGATCTGAAGATAGATTGATGGATATACATGTTGTATGTCACACGTGTACACACAGGATATGCGGGACACGTTCCCTTTGAACGCATGCGTGCACTTGTTTCTTTAAAACAGAAATTGAAAAGAACACATTGAAAATCAATTTTCATTACGAATGTATGAAATTGCTACAGGCCAACGTATTTTAAATATTGTAGTAACCGCAGTCATTTTGTAACCATCCAGTGTACATCATTTCAAGATCCGTGAAGATGCGGGGTACAATAGGTCTTCAGCAACCCATGTTTGCCGTAAAAAGGTGACTATGCTTATCATAAGAAGCGACTAATGGGATCGGATGGTCAGGCTCGCTGACTTGGTTGATGCATTTCATCGATACCAATTGCCCGGATCGATGCTCATGATATGAATCACTAGATTGTCTGGTCCAGACTCGATTATTTACAGACCGCCGTCATATAGCTTTAATATTACTGATTGCGGCGTTAAACAACAAACCAAACCACACCAAAAACATTATTTCAAAATGCCTACCGATAATGAAGTTGTATCTATAAATATTAGCTTCAGTGGTGATTCTACCGAGTTTCAATCTGAGGTGGTAATTGTGATTTGAAACCACTAATTGACAAAACATAATCAAATATTTCCAAATTCAACGGGTTATTAACGGGTGATGAAGTGAGGGACTGAGTATGGTTTTACGCCGCTTTTAGTATTTTTCCAGCAACACCACGACGGGGGACACCAGAAATGGGCTTCACACATTGTTCCCATGTTCCCATGTTCGACGAGCGAAAGCTTTAACCACTTGGCCACCCACTGTCCCTGTCTGTTATCAGAGCCGAGGGTGGACCGTTGCTCATGCTATCAATCACCCGTTTTTCTAAGTTACCTGCAGGCAGTCGCTTTAATATTACTGAGTGTGGTATAAATTTATATTCACTCACTCAGCGCAAACTTCAAAGCCACTCAGAATAATCACGTCAGTCTATCAGACCAATAAACCAGGCGACTGTTCAAGGAAACTCATGAAATCTGAACAAACGCAATCTTCCAGCAATGAGTGAAATCGATACTCATTAACCCACATTACATTTGCTTGATTCCGTTTTCTAAACGGGGAAGCCAATCGCAGTTTTGGCGTACGGGAAAAAGAATCCAGTCAACTTTAAGTGGCATGCTGTGTGCACTGTTAGTCATGAAACTGTAATTAGGGCAACGCGTGGAACTGAGACATTATTTTCTGTGTCGTTTCGGTAATCGTTGACTGTTGTTGACTAATATCATCATCATCATCATCATCATCATCATTATTATTAAAGGACGCGGGGTGAACTAGTTGTGGCAGCCATTTGTGTGCCCTCTGCTGTGTAAAGCCATACTCACTCACTTATTCACTCATTTAAACAAGCACAGTTATTATCCTGCCAGCCGCCGAACAAGAACTGAAATTTGTCTCTATTTACAAAATAGTCATACCGGTCGTGTTATACCAAAAGACGCTAAATCATGGTTCCCTGCCTCGGCATTACGGGACTAAAACAAAGACGGAGACGGTATAGTGTGGTATCTATGTTAAACTGCGGCATGGTATCTCAGTGTGTTCTCACAAACACACACACACACACGCACGCACGCACGCACGCACACACAGAGCGCAAGAATCTCGCGTAAATCGCCCGTAACCCCATTTCATCTCATTTCTGATACTGCTTCATTTTGCTATTGATCTGGCCATGTTTATTTTATTTATAAACGTTTTGGTATAAAGGTTATAACTGATGGGTCGTGAGTAAACATTAGGATGAATCATATGGATATGAAACACTCACATGTCAGCTATATATCCTCAGGTCATTCGGAAGCTGCATCAAGAACCATTGCATCATACGGGATCTCGGGCAGTGCGCGGGACAGGTGAGTGGCTTCTGTTCATCACAGACATTCATCCGCAACATCATACCCTACAAGGATGGCGGGATGCTGCTGCACGTGTCGGTGCACTCAGGTGGCAATAGCCATCTCCACATCCTGATGTAAAGAACCACTGAAGAGAATCGCCTCTCTTCGATCTGTTCCGCTGTTGTTTTCCTTGACAACGGGCCGCATCGTTGACAACGGGCAGTTCATTGTGGCATCTGTATCATAGAATAACAAGCTGCATGGAGGCGCTGAAACAACGCGTAGGGATGTAGTTTGTGGAGAGTCACGATGCCGACGTCATCATCATCATCATCATCGTCGTCTTCGTCGTCATCATCATAAAAAGTTGCATGGAGGCGCTGAAACAACACGTAGGTATCTTGTTTGTGGAGAGTCACGATGCCGACGTCATTATTATCATCATCATCGTCCTCGTCATCATCATCATAAAAAGTTGCATGGAGGCGCTGAAACA